GCGGTTATTAAAGTATTATATCTCTTAATAGTAGATTTAATATATATTAGGCTTAATTAATATAAAGAAGTTTTATTAATAGCTAATAGGCTAAGTTTATAGAAGTATAAATAAATATAAACTATATACTATTATTTATAAGGTATTTGCTAGTATTTTTATTAAGGATTAAGATATTAGTCTTTTAGTCCTAGACTGATATTATAAGGTTTTAGTTCTATTTTAACTAATTATATTAAATAGACCGAAAAGGGTTTATTTAGTCTATATATAATTAGTAGGGTTTATAGGGAAAATTATAGAGTATATATAATATAACTATAAGGGTTGTAATATCTATAAGATATTTATAATAGCTTATTATATTTTAGATAAATAGGTAATATTATTATATAGTTTTTAGGGTTAAATTTTAATTCTTTATATAATAGATTTATACTATCTTCTATATAGTAAATATAGATACATATTATTAATAAGTTATCTATATTAGTGTATTTTTTAGCAGTTTAAATATATATTTCTTTCCTAAAGTTCTAAATCCTTAATCCTTATTTATTATATAAAGGCTTATATAGTTATTTCTATTTTTATTTTAGTTATTTATTTTCTTATTAGAGGTATAATATAGTTATATATACTATACCTCCTTTATATCCTATACTTTAATCTCTTTATTATTTCTTTAAGTATAGGTTATTTCCTGCTATCCTTTCTGCTTTTATTGCTACTTTAATAATATAGATAGTAGTTCTAGTTAGAATTATATTAATATATTATATAACCTCTTTCCCTTTTAAGATACCTTATTGCCTTATTATTTTTAATATTTCTATTTTTATAATTTCTTCTTTTTCTTTCTTTTATTTTTAATATAGTTTTTATTATTTCTTTTATTTCTCTTTTTATTTTATTAAATCTTTTAAAATCTTCTTTTAATATTTTTAGGCCTTTTAGTTATATAGTATTAAAATCTTTAATATATTACTATATTTTATATTTTCTTTTATTATGAATTTATTTTATAATTCCTAAATAGAGCTTTATTAATATAGGTTCTATCTATCTTTTAATATATTATCTTTATATATAGCAGTTATTTCTGTTATATTATATAAGCTATAGGTTATTCTTAATATTTAGATTTATATAACTATCTAAAGGTCCTATTTATTAATAGCTTTTAATATTTACTTACTATAATTTAGGTCTTTAGGTTATTTTAATTAAAGGCATTTATTAATAATATATTCTAACTAATTATAGTTATAGTATTTAACCTTAAATATATTATATAATTTTTAGTTATTATTTTATTAGGTAGCTTTTAATATTATAGATTTTAATTTAATTTTATATTATATATCTACTTATTATTTCTTACCTTAATTAGTATTTTATTATTTAGTATTCTATTAAAAGTTATATAATCCTTTATACTTTTTAGCTTATTTTTCTTATTATTATTTAAACTATTAATTATTAATTTCTATAGCTATATTAGCTAGTTTATTTAAATTCTTAAATTTAAATTTAATATTTATTATAATATCCTTAACTTTTAATTTTAGTCCTAAATATACCTATATTATATATATTTCCTTACCTTAATTAAACTTAACTACCTAATAGCAGTACTTAATTAAATAGTCTGCTATAAATCCTTATTATTTAAGTTATTAAATCTTTATTTTTACTATTTATTTTTTATTTATAACTCTAAAAGCATTTTTAAGTTTATCCTTAAAGTATTTATACTTATTATAGATATATTTTATTATTTTTTATTATTTTTCTTTAGGGTTATTAATATAATTATAGATAATAGGTTCTATAAGTTAAAGTGCCTTATCTTTAAGGAATTTTATTTTATATTTAACCTTAAGTTTTTTAGTAATAAACTAAATTAGGTAGTATATTTAATAACTTTAAAGGCTAATAAGAAAGCCTTAAAGCTTATTTATATTACTATTAAATAAATCTAGCTAATAGGGTTATAAGATCTCTTTAGGGTCTTTACTAGTAATAGTAAGTGCTATAATATATTTAATATACTCTTAATAAAGCTTTTAGCTTTTTTTAGCTTTAGCCTTAAAAGCTTTAGTAAATCTAGTAAGTTTAATTACCTTTTTCTTTAATCCTTTAATTTAATTCTATAAGATTTTAATATTCTCCTTAAAGTTATTTAGCAGTTTATTATATTACTAGCTAAAATAAATAAATCTTTATCTAAACTTTATAACTTCCCTTTTATAGATAGTTAGATAGGCTAAAGTAATTTCTTTTTTCTCTTTTTTATTAATTTCTATAAAGATATTCTCTATATTAAGGGGGACTTCTTACTATAAAATATACTATATATATCTTATATTAAAAGGTTAAATAAAAGTTATAAATATTATTATATTAATATTACTTAGCGTTATATAGTATAATTTAAATAAAAGCTATTAATATATAATAGTTAAGGTTTTAAATAAAAAAACTAATCTATATTAGGTTTATATTTATAGATAATATAAGGTATAATATTAAGTTTATAAAGTATTATATCTCTTAATAATTAAGTAATATATATGAGGCTTATTAATATAAAGATACTTTATTAATAGTTAATAAGTTAAATTCTATTTATTACTAAATAAATATATTTATATATACTTAATATAGTTATAAGAAAGTAATATTAAGTAAAGTTATTATTAGTTTTAAGGCAATATAGTCTTAAACTGCTATTAGCCCTATAAATATTAGTCCTAGCTTAATTAATAGTTATAGAAAGAATTTATAGGGTATATATAATATAAGCGCTATAATTATAACACCTAACTTCTTTTTTAATTATAATTATTAATAACACTATAGCTGCCCTATTATAATACTTAAAAGAAGTCTGTAATTTAATTTTAATAAGGCTTATTTAACTAAAGACCTTAATATAATTCCCTTAATTAACCTATTTATTAATAAAGATAATTATAATAATTTTTATAATATAGCTATAAAAATTATATTAGCCTAAAAGTATATAGATAATACTAACTGCATTAAGCTAGTAGTCTTTAGTTATAAGATCCTTAAGGTCTTATAGCCTTATTATTAGCTAGTTAATAAAGGATTCCTTAAGCTTAAGATAAAAGAACTTAATAAGCTTAAAAGTAAATTACTTAAAAGGGTAGCTTTAAGCTATAATTAGCTAATATTTATTAAGGCTATTTACCTAGGCAGTTTATATAATAAGTGGCTTAAAGGCATTAAGTAATAGGCTAAAAGGGTATTAAGGAAGATTAAGCTGCTATAAATATTAGGCTTATTATAATCTTAAACTATAAGAGTATAAAGATAAGGGAGATAGTATATAGCGATATTTAGGATAAAAGAGGGGTAATTATAGAGTTTAGGAGGAAAATATATTAAGTTTTATATAAGTTTAGGCAGGCCACTAAAAGTTAAAGACCTAAAGTTATAATATCAGTAAAAGAAGGCAAAAATAGATTATACTATATAGTATATAACTAATTTATAATTATAAAGACTAGCTAAATATTAATGTACTATTAATATAAATAAGGGAGAATATTATAATATATATACTATACTTATATATAAATAGACAATTTATAGTAACTTATAATAGCTATTTATGTAAAATAGAATCCGCCATAGTCTAAGAGACTTATGACATATATATACTGTAATGTAGTCTTTAAGGTCATATACCAAGTCGTTATTATTACTCCAATTTTAAAAGGGCAGAGCAGTTACAACCTAACCATAACCCATTTCAAGGCCAAAATTCCCCAATCTAGACTATTTAGGGTCAAAGAGCTACAAGTATAACTTATCCATTATATAGTTTACAAGGGTTTATAAACATCCGGTCCCATTGCATCTGGCATATGTTCATCGACTTCCATGGCCGCTTCCTCAGCAAGGTGACATTAGCGGAGGGGATTAAGCTCCAACCATTCTGCCACCATCATTTATTCCCAAGGTAAGTCCCAAGTTCCCTGCCCAAGTCCTTTTCGTTATAGCCCTGTGACCTTGTATCGTCGTGTCCTTTCGATCCTGCCAACTACCTTATCCATCATCCTATACACCACTTCCCTTCAATCTGCTGGATATCTTCCTAAATTGCTCGTAAGTCACCGTTATCTGCAAACTTTAAGTTATTCTTATATGCCTCTACACAGCCTAGCTCTGCCTGCTTTATCGTCTTTTATCACTATACGGCCGGCTAGGTCTGCATTATCCTCTTGAAAACACTTTACGGCTCCTGCATTCTCATCACCCTCTTGCATATATTCGAGTTCTTCTCTTATTCCATCTTAAACCGAATTATATTTACTTTTAGAGCTAGCTTAGCTATAGTTCTATATCCTAGCTACTAAACATCTCATTACCACGCTTAAATAATCTATAATAGAATAAGACACTGAAGTCTGGAGTATCATTAAAAATCTGTTCAACACTACATTAACAACACAGTTGAGCATCTCAGGAGGCTATGTCCCTGCCGCCTAGGTGGCTCAGTTATAGGGAGCGCGAACCCAAAGCGCAAGGCCTTTCTCAAGGGACCATAAACTCGAAATTGGGCTTCATTCATCGAATTTGTCACGGTTGACTGCCGCGCTTTAGTTCCTGTTGCAGTCTACAAGGGCAGTGAGAAAACATCATGAATATACGAATCTACATCAATCGACCGAATAAACTCAATGTTTAGTAGTTACATATGCTTATGCTGCACGTCATGCCGTGGACTGATCCGTGTGCTTGTCTGATACGCAAGCCTGTCACATACACATTAACGGAATAGTTCTATCTTTTGAAATGATAATCGAAATAGACAACAACCTGAGACCAAACGCCCCGAACAAGATGACGAAACATCTAAATCAATTCTCAGTATTGATAACAATTAGAACGTGAAAAGTCTGATAGTACATCCAGTGAAGATGATCAAATAAAGAAAGAAAGAAAGAAAGGAACTTAGGTCGGATCTAAGATAACTTGACCCAGATGGCTTCTGATGGCACTCCGTCGATATCAATAAACAACATATGTACCCCAGCTACCATGACAGTACCATCAGGGGGGGCTGTGATTGTAAGTTGGTTCGAGTTTCCTTTCCGGACCTGGAGCTCCACTGAGCGCTGGTTCATTCCAACACCATGCGTACGGAAGCCTGGGTTAATCAGACGAGCAACAATGTTGTTGCCAGTGACAGCTTCCAAGATAACTTCAAAACCTTCATTGAACATGATACTATTGTTCTTGGGACCTGTTTTGATGACGGGACGACTATTGGCATCCATGTATGTAGGTGAGAAGACCTCAACGCGATATTCCGTGGGATGCAATGAGGTTTTCTCCTGCTGCTGTACCAAGACAGAACGATGGCCGTTGTTATTGAAGTAAGGATACGAGTTAAGAACCCGACCAACATCGTTGTAAAACACGTCAGGGTTTGAACCGGCCACAATGACTTCGCCAGATGGCAGTAGGCTTGCGACGGAGTGGTAAAGTCGTGAAATGTCTGTTTTTGGCATAGAAGTAAATCGTTGCCCAGATGCGGCTGAATGATCATAGATCAGAGGTGTCAAGACGGGATCGTCAGCCATCCAACCGCCGGCAGATCCTTTATGAGCTCCGTTTATTAACAGTATCTTACCGTTAGGAAGTAGGATTGCATCAGTCATAGTCTGTCCTCCATTTGGTAAATTGTCTGTTGGCACCCACTTCGGGTTTTCGTCGCTCGGATTAATCGTATAGCAGTCATCAAGTGCTTGGGGATCGGGAACGTCGGTAGAGGATCCACCGCAAAGCAAGACCGTGGGTGTGAAGTCTGGAGCCTTGAGCGGTAAAAGAATGACTGAGGCTGAGGATGGGAAGTTCCTGGGCTGCAAAGGGGTGTCGGGCAACTCGGCGACGAGTTTGTCCTTGGTATAGTCCCAGATGAAGGCTTTATTGCCGACGATAGTAAAGATCTCGTCCGCTTGACGCGAGTTAGGCAAAGGGGTCACTGTATATATCTATCAGCCGGGGCGTCATGTCTCTGGACGGACAGACTCACATGAAGGGTACAAGTTAAACGACTTGTTGAAGTTCAGATTGTCTTCATCTGAAAATTCAAGATACGGAAGAGTAACAGGCTTCTTGCGGGCAGACAAGTCGCTCTTAACAACCTCGTATGTTGGTACGTTGACACTAGCTTCATTGATAACCAATAAACCAACGTTTGAGCCCCCGACCACCAACACATCGCCGTTTAGCAGGGTAGATGTAGTTGGATACCAACGCTTAGCTTGCAGGGTGTTCTTATGCTCAATGATGTCCATAGTGCAGCTTTCTTTGCACGGACCAGGGGCAAAAGTGCGAATCTTGTCAAAGCCCTCCATCACGTTCTTGCCAATGTTGGCTTGCCACTCGTCAGGCTCTGAGCCCGCCAGATTCAACATAGTACCGTCGGCGAGGAATGATCCGGCGGAGCAGAATGTATTACTTTTTGGTGACAACTTTCTAAGCTTATTGGTCTTCCAGTTATACTCGGTCGCCATGACCCAATAATCATCATCAGTTTTAAATGGGTCCTTGGCGTGCCTGCCGGTGGTCAGATCAACGCCGGGGCCGCCATAGTTGGGATGATAACTGTGTAGTTAATGCTTGTATTAGCACTAGTCTTTTTTAATGGTCCTCATCAGAGAAGGGGGATACGTTACTTGTCTAAAAATACAACGTTGTCAGTGAACGGAGGGACGAAAAGCATCTGGGCGGCGCAGCCGGATGAACCAACGGTTTTGAAGCCCGCAGCATTACATTGGACGATGTAAGCTGCAAGCGTAATCTTCAGTGCATGATCGTCAGCATTCGTTAGAATTTAGGCGAACATCGGTTCACTCACAGCGACGTATGATCTCATTGTGCTACAATGCTGTCTTTTGTCTTCTTCGGTGTTTGTACTTTTTTTCATTCTCAGACTCAAACGGCAGTCGTCTTCTTATATCTCCACGGGATGATATACAATTACTGATGGAGACATCTATCCTCAGTGTGATAAGAAACTAGACGTATAGATTCGTAATGTAATGGAAATTACGCCTCGTATTACTCGCCTGCTGTCCCGTGTCTCACTCGTATTTTTTGTCTTACGGTTCGCGGAGATCTGTGTGCTCAAGACCTAACCTGACCCTCGTATCTGACGAAGAGGTTCAAAGGATCCAAGTGGATACGCTAGCAGAGAGTAATGTCTCCGTTCAGTCAGGTAATTGGATGACAGCCAGTCCGAGACGCATGCTTAATTTTATTTCCCGAGAAAACACGAAACCTTCGAAGGTCGCTAGCTGTTCCAAAAGATAAATGCCGAAAACTGCGTCACGGAGACTAAACCTAGATATTCGACGGCGGAATATGCAGGCATAAACCCGATAGGGTAGTACAATGAGTCTACAATATTCGACCCCATGCTATGCGTATCGATAGACTCGCATAATGTCGCGCCCGACGTTAAGTCTTGCCCCAAAGCTAGGTCTAAGACTGGGCTCAAGATGTGCTGCTCGGCGACTCTCGGAAAATTGGCCAGACAATTCTCAAGCTAGGTGAGACGTGCCTGCACCATGCTCCAATCAATGGCAGTTGGCTGAAGATCAGCGGCAATATTACGCGATTCCGATTTCCATACTCGGACCCACAGATATGTTTCTGCTTGGAGCGGAATCACCGACGGATTGAGATAAGTGACGCCACAGATCGTTCGCTCTATGAATTATTAACAGTTTTGAAAGTTAAAATATTACGTTCCTGCTTTGCTGACTGGCGCCGAGGAAGCACGGAATCAGCTTCATTGTCTAGAATGTAAGCAAGGACGGCTAAAAGGATGTAACGCAGCGGAAATGTACAATCTCAAGCTAGAACCAGTTTATCCTTCCATATGTCATCTTCAACATGAACATCCCTAGGACATTCGAATTCCTTTCATCTCAATGGCTTGACATGTTAGTCTTGACCAATCTGCGTGGTTGGAAACGTGCTATTATATCGCTGGTATTGACGATTCCGGCACTCTTGTTTGTTTTTGCGGACACCGTTATATGGGTTATGACTATCATGTGCATGGCAGGCCCGATGATGGTTGCTGGCCTGCATGAAGCACTGCTAGACTTCAAGGTATTGAAGGCGTTGAAGAGGAGGACATATATTCCGGAGAGATTTGTTAATGAGCTGAGGGTGTCTGAGGAAATACCTCTTGATCCCATGGGCCATAACGCGGCAGGAAATAATGCGGCAGGCACAATTGACCCCAACGATGATCACGAAGGCCTAGATGGCTTGAGGGATAAGGTGGAACTCCTGGTGACCGTTCTTGCTGGCAACCTTGTACTCAAGACCTATGAGCCCTGGCCTAACAACCTTGTGTTGATTTCTAATTCGCTACTGGCTACGGGGAGACGTCGGTTCAATGCTATGAGACCGCATCCTGCCCAGACACCTTCAGCCTTACCCGTACCAGACATGCTACCGAACAGCGAGGCAAACCAGAATTATCCCAGCTTGTCCGAACAGCTCAAGAGGCTCATGACGGCGCAGTCTGCCTTCGGCGCCATCGTCGGGGCAGCGGTCGTGTTTTACCTCGGCGCCTTTATCTACACCATCCTGGACCTACTCGGCGATAAGAGTAACCAGGATGCCGCCATCTCCCTGGCCTTTGGTGTCGAATGGATGATTATCGTGCACGTTGCAATCGTCAACGGGTTCCTTCTTGCAAGCAACAACCCTAGTCCAGTCACCATGCTCATCGGGCGACCGCTCTCGACTCGCAAGCCACTGAAAAGAATTATATTCCCTCCCATCTATGACGGTATACTTCAGCCAGTGTTTATGTGGCGCCGGGGGATTAATAAGATGGAGTGGCTCGAGAAGTCGCGAGCGTGGCGGCGCAGGGATAAGAGGTTCATGAATGATGTCCGAATCAAGAAGCGGGAATATCTAGGCTGGATCATACTGCCCACCATCATTCTTATTTCCCTACCTCCGGCGGCTGGGGCCGTGGTGGCGTGGCAAACTCCCCCAAGGGGTTGGGGCTGCCGGTCACTCAGCCTTGTCACCTACGCAGGGTTCCAGATGGTGCTTACACCGTTGTACTTCATCATCACACGCAAGACGAAACGGAAGACAACAATGCAGCGCATCATCCACTGGATATGCGTTCTAGTGTTCAGCGTTACGATTCTGTTAGCTCTCTTCACTAGCATCGCGACGACTCTCATGCAGATCATTGGAGTCTTTCGGAACTGCTTCTGCTACGTGAACAGTGGGATGTGGCTCAATCTAAACAACGCTGTCGTCAATGTAGCTTCCAATACGAAAGACCGGAGAACCTCAAGCGACGGGTGGATTGTTATGGGGGGAGTTGCCACCGGTTTCATGGCAGCGTGTTCTTTTTTTGGGTGGTGGTTCCAGATGAACATCCGAGTCAGTTTCGAGGATGCGATTAAGGATATCGATGACTTGTTCTACTGAGTGTATGGTAAACGTGAGCTAACTGTAGCCAGTCAATGGCGCCTTTAATGTTGGATGAAATATGCTAGGTTAGGTTTTAAATGATGAGGTTGGATTAGACCTGGGAATATAATATTGTTTGCGCGACAGAGTTCTTGTACATCGGATGCAACGCCTCATAGAGCAGAACATAGATTCTCAATTGTGTAGTCTGTATGAGGCCGCGAATGTTTATATACTTTATAGTTAACTATAAAGTAAGAGGCACAGTACGCGATTTCTGTCATCGAAAGGTGACACGATCCAAAGAATGGCTGTAGCTCTTATCCGAGTAGTTCATTAATATAAATATGAGAACTTTCACTGAATGAGTGTTTATCAAAGTGAAGAGCCGTGGCTGCAAGAAACCTTTCCGTCCATTATAGACATAATAAATCCAACTGCTATGTAATATCGCTCTTTAACAATTACAATCGAAATGAGACCTTGTTGTACAACTAAAAGCACAACCTTTCGTCATAAACCTCCCGTCATTCATCAGAGGTCACTTCCTTACAGCTTATATGTTCCCATCTGTCGAGGGCTGACCTTGTTATGGAACATGTGGTCAATCTCGTCATACCGTCGCCCCTTGAGCTCCGGAACATAAACCCAACTCCAGATAAAGCCGATCAAGCCCAGACCACCAAAGATGAAACCAACTTTACCCTTGAGATTACCCTCATCAGGGTTGACCATGTACGGAATGGCAAAGTTCATCGCGATACCCATAACAGACTGGGTGGCAGTAGCCAGTGCCATCGTCTTGGCCTTGAGGTTCAGCGAAGCTGTCTCACCAAGAACAGCGAAAGCCATGGCTCCGACTGTGGCGAAGTAGACGTAAGCGTAGATGACGGTGCATGCAGCTTGAACCCACTTGGCAGCTGACGTAGGGACGACATCCATAATGCCGATGAGGAACAGGAGGACGGTGAGGGCTCCCATGCCGGAGAGGAAGATCTTGCGACGTCCGAAGGAGTTGACGACGAACCAACTGCAGATGTTGCCGAGAACGCCGCATGCTGTGACGCCGACGCCGAGATCGAAGCTGCGAGAGGTCTCAAGGCCGGCCAGTTGGAAGAAGTAGGTTGAGTATCCGAGAACGAAAATGATACCAACAAAGTGTTGGCAGACAAAAACTCCCATGCTGATCATAGTTCGGATGAGGTCGGTTCCCTTGAAGCACTGGATCCAAGAAGCTTCTTCAGCAGAAGCAGCTTGTTCCTCAGCGATAGTCTCCTTGATAGTAGCCAGCTTCGCATCGATATCAACACCAGATCCATAGAGTTGGATGAGCGATTTCTTCGCCTCCTCAATCTTGCCCTTGCGAACAAGATACCAAGGAGTCTCGGGAGCGAAAGGCAGACCCGCAGCAAGGATGACGATAAAGATACCCTGCGTAGCCAGCGCACCCCTCCAAGCCCAATGGTCCGTCCTCTCACCAAAAGCCTTGATGACACCATTCGACACCAACTGACCGATAGCAATTCCAAGGTTAACGCCGGCGGTAGCAATACCACGAAACACAACCGGTGAGATTTCCGACGTCGCCAACGGCGCAAGCGTGAGGAAGAAACCAAGTCCAAGACCGATGATGAGCTTGGACATGAGGAAAGCGACGTTGGTGTTGGACATGCACTCTCCGATCGTACCGCCCGTTGCGAGGAGGAGTGCCATGACGAGGGAGTTCTTTCGGCCGACGTAGTCGCAGATCCAGGAACACATGAAACCGCCGAAGAAGCCGCCGACGGAGCTGATGCAGTTGAAGGCGGTCTGCCAGTCGGCGGGGAGGATAGCTTCACCGTTTTCGACGTATCTAGAAGTTGTTAGTGGTGATGAGAGGGGGGCAGTATGTCGGGCGTACCCAAAGTCGCGTCGGAAGGCGGCGACGGAGATCATGGCGCCGTTGATCTGAGCATCGAAGCCCCTATAGTCAAGAGTTAGTGATGTCAGTTGTGGAGACGGGATAGACGTTTGACTTACCAGCCTACAGCAGCGATTGACCAGTAAAAGCACCACCAGACAATAGCGGGATGCTTTTGGAAGCATTGCTTGAGTGTCAACTCATGCTCAGCCTGACGATCTGCCTCGACAGCATGGCTCTTGGCATCAATGAACTCAGTGCCAGAGACCTTGGCCTGGAGTTCAAGATCTCCTTTGCCGGTAGTATTCGACGTCTCCATGGTTGATAGTAAGCAGTTGATAAGATAAAGTGGAAACCGATGATGGATGCTGGGTGATAAAAGATGGGGTCAACTGCCGAGTCTTATATGCAGCTGCATATCCAAGTCATGAGGGTAGCATCATCAATAGTTTCCGGTTAAAGACAGGCCATAGTCACAAACGTTGTCAAGTTTGACATGGCATGACAAGAAAATCATGCGCAGAAAAAAAGAATTGGCTTTGGCTAACACGGTCTAGACCAGTCTGGGGTTTGTGGGGAGACCGAAAATCTGGGGATGCTGAGCTTACCCCAGTTTGGCTGATACGAGCGACATTCCCCGATGAGAGCCCACTTTACGGCGTCACGAGTCAGGAGGTATAAGGAGCGATATTCCCCGACGCAGCAATCCACTATGTTTCTCTCTCCTCCTCCACGTTTCTGCACATCCATCATGTCCCCGCAAACATCAGACATGTCAGCTGAAGCGGATCGTCGGCCGGGGAAGAGACCTGCGCCAAGGGGCACAGCGTTTTATCCCCGCAAACGAGCTAATACAGCGTGTCAAGTGTGTCGGGCTCGGAAGACAAAGTGCGATAACCAGAAGCCGGCTTGTTCGTACTGCATCAGTGTGGGAGCGACGTGTATTCAGTCCCCGGTTGATCTATCGGCATTCGACCCTGCGAGTCTCAAGATATTGGAGCGGTTGGATGAATTGGAGAAATTGATACGCGAGCCGAAGCCTGACGCTACCAATCAAGATGTTGCGCAGCCTGAGACAGAGCTGTTGCCCGAAGAGTCTCCTGCACAGCTATCACCAGAGTCTCTGGGCGACATCTCCCTACGAAGCATCCTCCCCGAGAAGATGGAAAGCCTCCTCCTCTGGTCCGTCCTCTCACGCGACATGTCATCCCACACAACTCTCCACCCCGATCCACCCCAACCATCCCCATCTTACTCCCCCGGCTGCACATCCCTGGCCGACATAGCAGATCTCGACACACAAGGTGTAAAAGCCCTTCTCGATAACTTCTTCGATCACGTGCACTGCAAAAACCCCATCCTCGAAGAAGCAGCTGCTAGAAAGGTTGTTCTCAATGTAGTCATCGACGGGATCGATTGGTCGCCGGGGTCATGCTTAACACTTATCATCTGTGCGCTGGGAAAGATTGCGACGCCGCTGGATGCGAGTTTTCATCTTAGGGCGGATTCGACGCCGTATTTGGAGGCTCAGGCTTTGTTCCAGGCGGCGCAGAAGAGGATTGGCACTTTGATGGCGAGATCGGATATCATCGGAGCGCAGTGTTTCTTTTTGTCGGGGGTGTTTTTGATGAGCACGTTTAGACCTTTTGAGGCGTGGCGGTATTTCTCGCAGGCGTTGGCGACGTGTCAGACGTTGCCGTTCCTACAGAGAGCGCAGTCTCTTAGTGCGATGGATGGGGCAGATCTAGCGAGACCGGAGTTGGGTGAGACGCAGCAAGAGGCCGTATACTGGTCTGCTTGGAAGTCTGAACGGGAACTACGAGGAGAGCTATCTCTTCCGGACTTTAGCATGCCTTACTCTTCAAGCGTGCTATATCCGCCATTCTTCCCAACCCCTCCTCATCCCTTGGAGTCTACCAAGACCACGGCATCAAGTCGTCAACACACAGCATGGCTATTCTACCTCTCCGAAATATCCCTACGACGTCTGTCCAGCAGAACGTGCAACGACATCCTCGAACTCCACCGCGCATCAGCTTCAAACCTCGACTTCCTTAAGCAACTCTCCCTTCTCATCCCCGCCTACGAAACCCAAGCCAACGAATGGGCCGAAAGTCTCCCTCCCGAGCTCTCCATCGCTTCAGCACCAATCGACGACAACGTATGCTGCTTTGTTCTCCGCGGACATCTAGTAAACTTCTTCGAGCGTCTATACTGGCCTTTCGTAATGGCCCATCTAGCCGCCTTGGAACGCGGTGTAACTACACCAATTCCCGGGCGGCAATTTGTAGAAAAGGGCCTGGAGTACCATATTCTTAATGTTGAAGTCAACGAAGCGGGGTTCTTGCATCGTCATCACGGGACGTGGCTCATGATCAGAGCTTTAGTCCGATCGGCGACCGTGTTACTTGCAGCGCGGCTCTTAGGATCGGGAATGCCCGCGGGATGGAGGGATGCGTGTGAGAGGATTATGCAGGTTTTGAGGGCTTGGGAAGATGATGTTCCGGGATTGTCGAACCATCGGAATTTCTTGGAGGAGGTCTTGCATGGGTTGAACGTTTAACTTTTGATGTACACTAATAAATTGTTTAAAGCGTGGTTCCCCGTGTTTTAGGCGAGTAACAGTCTTGGTGAAAAATGGGGATCCCGGGGGAATGGTTCGTAGTGGTGTCGTGGCGGATCCTGTCGGGGAGTGTCGCTCGTAAGAAAACACTCCACTTTGAGTGTATGGACTATTTAGGTGAAGGCTGTAATGGCTTTCGGAAACAGGCAGACCTCTCAGAGCATTACTCGCATCAACTACTTTGTCATTGATTCACCATTCATTCTCCCATTTTCTCTTTCTTCATAGCAACAACATCTCACAATCTCTACCATGGTCGCAACAGCAGACAACTCCGGCTCCTACGAAGCCCTCCCCAAGAACGCCCCTCAGAAGCCATCAACATGTAGGATGCTTCATACCGAGGGCAGTCGCATCGTCGACCCCTCTGGCAACACCGTCATCCTCAAAGGCGCTGCTATCGGCGGCATGCTCAACATGGAGAACTTCATCACCGGCTATGCAGGCCACGAACATCAGCACAGACAACAAATGGCCGAAGTCATGGGCGAAGAAAAAGCCAACTTCTTCTTTGACAGACTTCTATACCATTTCTTCACAGACTCCGATGCCGCTTACTTTGCATCGTTGGGTCTGAACTGTATCCGCATCCCCTTCAATTATCGTCATTTTATCGATGACATGGATCCTGATAATCTCAAGAAATCGGGTTTTGACTGGTTAGATCGCTGTGTGGATATCTGCGGCAGACATAACCTGTATGCTGTTCTTGATCTCCATGCCGTTCCAGGAGGTCAGAACCAAGATTGGCATAGTGATTCTGGTCTGTCACGCGCGGCGTTCTGGGACTTCAAGGACCATCAAGACAGAGCTATCCAACTATGGAAAGCTCTTGCAGCTCACTACAAAGGAAACCCCGTCATCGCAGGCTACAACCTCCTCAACGAACCCGCCGACGAAACCAAGACCTCATCGGGCCAATACGGCGCCAAGCTCGTGAAATGGTACGAACGCACTGAGAAAGAAGTCCGCGCCATCGACCCCGATCACATGATCTTCATCGACGGAAACACATACGCAATGGACTTCCGCGCCTTTCCCGAAAACCCTCTTCCCAACGCTGTGTACGCCTGTCACGACTACAGCTTCTACGGGTTTCCTCTCGGGGAGCAGTACGAGGGTACAGACGAGCAGAATACTAAGTTGAGGAAGAGCTTTGAGCGCAAGGTGCAGTTCATGAGGGAGAAAAACGTGCCGATTTGGAATGGAGAGTTTGGCCCTGTTTATCAGAATGAACATAAGGAGGGTGATGAAGCTATCAAGACCAACGCCAAGCGCTTTAATCTGCTACAGGAGCAGTTGGCTATTTACAGGGAGACTGACGTTAACTGGTCTATCTGGCTGTACAAAGATGTTGGTTATCAAGGCATGGTATACGTCGACCCCGAGTCTCCCTACATGCGTCTCATCGCGCCGTTCATCGCCAAAAAGCAGCGTCTCGGTCTTGATTTCTGGGGCGTCGTGAACAAAGACGGTGTCAAACACCTCTACGAACCGTTTATCCAGGGTTTGAAGGAAGAAGTGCTGGAGAAGTATAGAGATACAAAGTATCCCAAGATCTGGACCTTTGAACGACAGTTTGAACGGGTAATTCGGGAGTGCTTAATGAGTGAGTATGTGGGATGGGAGTTAGCGGAGCTGTTTAGAGACAAGACCAAGGAGGAGTTGGAGGAGCTGGCGAGTAGCTTTTCGTTTGAGAAGTGTATTAAGAGAGATACGCTGGTGGGAATCTTGAGTCATGATTCGATGATCTCGGCTGGGAAGAAGTAGAGACGCATGGGAACTGGGGTTGCATTTTGGCGTTGTTGGTTCTAATATGGTTGCAAGACTTTGCGAACAGGTTCATATCTCATCAAATACAGACTACCTGCTCTTTGAACACAATCATTCCATGCCATCACGCATCTAAACCCTCCGATCAATAGCATCCACGCCATCAGCCAAGTCCTTACAGCTCAGCACAAAGCCCCAGCCTCCTTCACAGTTATACTCTGTGCACCTTTTGGCAAAGTCAGGACTTGTCGTTGCACAAGCATCGCTCAGCATCAAGCAATCCCAACCCTTCGTGTAAGCATCTCGAATAGTCCCAGCGACGCACTGATCCGTGTTCTCCCCCGCAAACAGCAAAGTTCTGATACCTCGCTTACGCAGTGCGTCTTCGATGCCAGTACCTCCCCAAAACCCTGAAAGTCGATTCTTGTTGATGTGAATGTCTTGCGGCTCTGCGATTCTCTTCAGACTAGGATGGAACTCGGTGTTCCACTGATCTCGCATCATGACTCGACCCGCGTCGACGAGTGTTCCGTCCTCGCGCTTGACTTGTCCAATCTCAGCACCGATACTTCCCAGGAATGTGGGTTTGATAAAGTTCTGATCGAGAGGAAAGTCGAATCCTCTTGCAATACTCGGGGGTATGTCATCTAGGTCATTGTCTTTCACGCCCCAGCCAAGCCACACAACTGGTATGCCAGCTTTGCGACAGACGGGAATGACGTCCTTGACGAGTTTTTCGACAATCTCTAGACCCGGGCTTTTAGGTGGGCGACCGAGGAGAGGCGACAAGAAATAGTTCTGCATGTCAATGACGACGAGAGCAGTCTTTGCAGGGTCGATGGTGGCTTTCTCAGCGCGCGTGTTGAGAGTGATTCGGGGGTAGATAGGTGGTGAATCTGGAGTCGGCAGATGTGTAAGGTCGAAGCCATCCTTCTTGGTCCAGAGCCAGAAGTTGTTTTTGCCGCCGACAACCTTGACTTTCATGGTGATGGTTTTAGTGTGGTGGGCGTTAGATGAGAAAGATTCACGATGGGATATGGTAGCTGTTGAAGGGGGGAAGGACAAAGATGTGGCGGCGGTGAATCAGAGCCTATTTGAACAAAGCCTGACGTCAGAGTTCACAGCACAGAGAGCTCAATAGGGTAATCCTAACTGCTTTTATTACTCGAGCAAATTTTTGGAAAGGATGACCCGCTTCACCAAAAGGTAATGCTAAAGCCGTATGTGAAACAATGCGATGGGTTTAGATTTTGAGGCACCTTGACAAAGTAGCGTTCGTTCAATGATCACTGAGCATTGTATACCCTCCATCGAACACACCTTTCTAACCCGTATCACTAACACTTGAAGTATTTAAACCTATCAAGCCCATTCTTGAGACATTTCTAACCTCCAATTGCCATAATTTCACACATATCTTGTTCCATAAGTTGTATCCTACAATACACTACCAATCATGTGTACAGAGGTTGTTAATACATGGGAGTGCACAGTTTGTCGCAAGGATTTCAAGTCAAACAAAAACTTCAAAATGTGCAAAGTCGGGAGAAAGCAGAATAAATGGGGTGCTTGCGAGAAGTATAACATCCAGCATGAATACTGGAAGGACAAGTGCGGTGCCTGTGCAAAGAAGAAATGACTTAGCTCGGAATGGGTTTAGTTAAGAACACAATTTAACTTACAATGTGATATGTATTGATCATTCTGACTCGGCTGTCGGCGGAAGATATACTCTGAAATCCAGTCCTTGCAGAACACGCACAGCCAAATGCCTTTTCGGCCTACCATCACACATATCACAGTAAGGGCGCGTCTCAGTCATATTCTCACATGCTCAGAGAGCAGTCCATGGAGTATGACACCCGCTCATATTAGCAGCATAGAAAGCTTGCACGTGGTTATTCACAGTTGTGAAACATGATATCAAGGTATATAAGTTCTCGCTCTCAATGTAGTACTCCGTAAATTCTCTAATAATATTTCTATTTACGAAATACAAATTGATAAAAACACAGCAGACGTCTACCATGTGCACCGAAGAAGTCTATAGCTATGAATGCCCCAAATGCGGCAGAGATCACAGAGCAGACAGAGATTACAAGATGTGCAGTACGGGTCGCAGGAAGAACAAATGGGGCGCCTGCGGAAAGTCTTCCGTGGAGCGACATAACCGTGTAGAGACTTGCCCGGCTTGTATCGTGAAGGCGAAGAAGCGAAGTTAGCCGCATCATGTGATATTGAAGGTGCAAGTTGAGCTTGCCGAAGGAGAGTGGCTAGAGAATGGGTCTTAATTGACAAATAAAACATTTCTATATATGCAAAGTGATTAGTTTGTACATGGATTATCTATATCGCAAGCGCGCGGCTAGCATATAGACGTAATTCCAGGAGTGACTGAGACGCCTGATCCGCAGTGTTGTTTTCGTGTATGTCTCATGTAGTACGGAAATCACCCTTCCCTTCGGTAGTCTATAAGCTCCTCTCCATAAATAGACGTGTTGACAGAGCCTCCTCCTATTATTGCTGTCTTCTCTCCTCATCAAGCAGTGGTCTTGGTTCAGAAGGGGCTTTCTTCTGTAGGCTGACCCAGATAGCTGAACCAATGATCAGAGCACTGCCAATGAAACTGGTGATGGGAGGCGTAGTTCCCCAAACGATCCGCTCGATGATCAGTGCAAAGACCATCTGAACGTACTGTAGATGCGTTAATAATAGCTGTGTATCTGTTGTGAAGCAGGAACTTACGATGAGATTGGTGGCTCGGCCGGCCTTCTCTCTCTGAAGACCTTCAGTGAGGAGGAGCTGGAGCAGAAAGCCAGAGATGCCAATCGAGAGAAGTAAACACCTGATAATATGAGCTAAGACTAAGGTTTAAGATGGAGTTACATACCATTCAGCGATAGTCTTGGGAATCTCGAATTGAAGATCGGGGTGAATCATGATGATGAGAAACGAGCTAACAGTCGCAAGCACGGCGAAGTAATTGACACTGACGAGCGAATGAGCGCGCTTGCCGATCACGCGGATGGTCGCATACGCCGTCGCCGCTGCAAAGGAACCAAAAATGGCACAGAGAATAGCAATGGTGCGCTCTTGAGGTGTTGCCTTTACCGGCGGTAGGATACCACCATCAGTAGTGAAATCGGGGTCCACAGCACGAGACTCCAGTTCTGATAATGTTCGCCAGCTTTCGGGGAATAGAAAGGCTGGGCGGGCGACGAAGAGAACACCAGCGAAGGCGATGAAACCTGCGGTTGCTTCCTTGACAGTGAATGGTTCCTAGATACTGAGTTAGCTGAAATCGTCGTCAAAGATGGAGATTGGACTTACGCGTAGAGCAACCCATGCAATAAACGCCGTGAGAGTCGGGACAAGGAAAGTGATGACGGTCGCATCAGAAATGTCAAGATACGACAGCGAATCTACGCCACTTGGTTAGCACAATCCTTCCCCATCGATCGACCACATATCCTTACAGTAAAGTCCAAAAAGCCCAGCTGAGCCAGCAAACCCTCTCAGCACCAACAAACCCCTAACCTCCTTCGGCCCCAAAGGAAAGTTCGGTACGTTTTTACACCACATGTAAACAGAGCCAATCAGCGCCGTAGCCAACATTCGAACGAAAATGATCTGCAAAGCGTGAAACTTTGTTTCAAACCCCGTTTCAAGAAGCCGCGTTGTCATGGACATCTAAGTTTGTTAGTGACGGTTTCCATCGGGCGCGGGAGTGGCGTGCTTACGATTGAAGCGAATAGTTGGGCGACTAAGACGTAGAATAAGCCAATGTTTCTGGAGTAAAAATTCTGTAGTTTTTCTAAGACTGTTGAGTCGGAATCTGAGCTGGTTTCGGAGGATGTCTCGGAAGAAGAGTCTTCTCTGTTGGCAACTGGGGCCAGTAGAGATGAAGCCTCTGACTCTCCATGTTGATTGGCCTGCATCTTGCTCTGAGAGTAAGACATGCTCAAAGTGCCTCTGAGAAATGAATCCGTCAAGATAAGTCTACGGCCAGCGCAGTTAATAGTCCCCAGGCAAGTCAACTCGGGTCAAAATTCACAGCCCGCGTGAGAGAAGCTTAATGAAAAGAACTGAAGGATTTTCTCCAGTTGGTCTCGTGAGTGAGTGGCGCTGAGCCAACTAAATACTTAGCTTAGATTGGACGGTCATGGTCCCACCAAAGGGGGGTTTCCACCAATCGCGGCTATCATCGCTAGGTGAAACCCGGGTCATTAATTCTTCCGTTGGCTTGGCTGTCCTTAATCTCTGTCGTGAGAAGTTCTGTCTGTCTCATTCTTCTTTTCAGAGGACATATACATGCTCGGGTTGTAGTTGCAGACATACATATAATATTTAATAAGTCTTGAAATTATGTCCACTGTTTAGCTGGCGATTGAGTTACCTCCAAAGTCCGAGGCGATTCACGGCACAATCCTGCTTACCCTGCACGACAGATTCTGAAGTCCGTTCTCGCCATTAATAGTTGAAGGTAGAGGTCCTAATATCTCGTTTTCTTGATCCTAGTCACGGTCGCATTCTTTTGAATTATTTTCATTCACTTTGACTTGATAGATTCCTCGTCATTCTCGGCGTAGAGCGAAGGACGTAAATACCTTGTAGTTAACTACATAGTAATTGCAAGCAAATATAATTGCATTAAATGAGTAACAAAGCAATTCCAGCAAGACTCAACATCAGTGACAAAGAAACCTGCTCAATCGAACCACTATTGTCATTTGAGCCTCCACTTCCTGCAGTAGCTGTCACCGTAGTAGTACTCTCCCCAGTTCCAGCCGGGACATTCGTCGGCTGATCTTGTGCGGAAGCTCCCTCCTCAGAGCTCGTTGTTTCAGCCGGCGTAAACGACAAAACGCACTCAGCATCAAGAGCAAGCGTATCGCCGACATCATTGGTGACTTCCATCTCAGGACACGAGAACGTCGCATCTTCGCCTTGCACCGTGACAGTCTTTGTACCAGTTTCGGTCTCGGTTTCGGTCTCCCATTCTGTTGTTGTATAGGTTGTGAAAGGTGTGCAAGAAAGTTGTCTGCCCAAGAGGCTGATTCCTCTGTTGACGTGGGCCGATGCTGTCGCGGCATCACGACGAAGACGAGCGGCGCTGTCGTCAGTGGTGGTAGCTTCGGGGGGTTCGTAATGCAGAGTGCATCCCTCATCAAGCTCCAGTGTCGCGCCTTCGTCGTTTGTAGCCGTCATGGGGACGCAGGTAAACTCAGGAGCGTCGCCGGTCTCGGGCTCGATGTCAGTTGTAACGCGCACAGTCTTCATCTTGGTTGTTGTAACTGTATCTGTCGACTTGATCGTCGTAGTGGCAGCCGGACAGGGCTTACAATATCCATCAGAACCACAGTAGCCCCCTGATCGACAGCACTCTTTCTCGCAGCACGTGGTACCCTTTAAGCAGGAACCATTCTTGCAACACCGTTGGGTAGAAGGATTGGCACAATATCCACTTGAACAGCAGTCACTAGATTTTGGACAAGCCCATACAGTTCCAGGGCCGGTACAGCAAGTTGTTGTTCGCGGATTATAGCACTTGCTATTTCCACACCGCTTCTGACCAGACGGACAACAGCCACCGCCTGGCATGCAGTCATACCCCTTGGGACAATTTCTACCGACGCCACCACAGCAGACTGACGTGTTGGGGTTATAACATCCAGATGAGCCGCACTTGGTCTCGCCTCTGCTGCAGCATCCTCCACTGACGCAAGTCTGGCTTTTCAAACACGCCGTGCCGCTGCTGCAGCAGATTTGTGCTGATGGATCGTAACAGCGGCCTGAGCCGCATTCTTTGGCGTTCCCGCGACAGCAGCCGGTAGAGATACAGGTACTGCCTCCAGGACAACATCCGAGACCGCTTGAGCATGGGTCTAAGTTCTTGTCAGCGACGGTAGATTACGGAATTCTGGTGATCAACATACAGTAACCTGGGTCGACACATTGCCTTTGCCGGGGCTGTAAGCCAAAGGCCTGTGGTTCTGCGATTCCTCCGATCCACTCCGTGAAGTCAGAGAGGGAGTCGGGAAGGACGATGTCTTTCATTTTGGCATCGGCCAGTGACACCATGTTCGGTAGCTCATTCAATTGGAAAGTGTCGTGGAAGAGCTGACTACCACTCGTCGCACCTTTACCAACCCAAATGGCAAGGAGCGCGATCTTAGAGAACCGCATGCTGGACAGAATGTCTGATTCAGACCTCAGGAAAAGAATAAAGGTTAGTCAAGCCTGAAAGCCCTTCCCGCAGCGAGGCTGGGCCGTGGCGCTCAGCAGTCATTTATAACTCGTTGCCAGCGCATTACCCCTCTTCTGTGGTGTCATGGTCGAGGATCTGCCCTGACCGTCAACCTTGCCAAGAGCAATCAGGCTGAGAAATAGAGAGAGTGCAGCCTTTATCTTACTGCCCTGCGCAATGCTATACCGAAAGTGAACAGAGGCTGGGGCGGACAATTAACCTTATGTGACTGGAATGTCCGGGCGTGCATTAGCTGTTGTGAATAGCGCTTTGTGGCGTCCATAGTCTGTAGGTCGATGATGATCAGGCAGAATATCCATCATGCCACCAGGGCCCGACCGGGTTCTTTTATTTTGTGACTCTTTATATTTCACCTTGAACTTATGTCCATTAAGATTGACTATTAATGAAGAGAAAGATGGGGTTTTGATTATTATTCTCGAGTCATTTTCCTGATTGTTTGATGATCGCTGACGCTGATCCTCAGCCGCACGATGCACAAGCCCTAACAGGCAAAGTCACTGACAGGGGATTGCATCGACGTTGAAGCTTAGGTTATAGTGCTTACGCCCGATTGCAGTTTGTTGGTCGGATCAACGATCAGCAGGATCAGTAATTCGTCCGACTCTTGCAAACAGTACCGCGTGATTGATTTGATGCGCATGCACTAAAGGATTATATTCCACCTCTCAGATCATGACATGCACCCCAAGTGCATGAGAAAATGGTAGGAGCTAGTTATCAGATTCTGCATCAGGGCATTTTCGGATGTCGGTGATGCGAGCTGGGGTTAGAACTTGGCACAGGACCCTGGTAATTGAGGGCCGTTGGAAGTGATGTGTCATAAGCCCCAGTGACATGTTTCTCGACGTACAGGGTAATCATGGCGATCAAATGGCAGGGGCCCAGGAAATCGCGCAATGGATTCCGCATCTGGCCTCCAGGGCATAGCATAACTGAGCCAATAATAATGGTGCTTCTTTTCCTCCACCGTCTCTTCTTTTTGTGCCACGCCTTGGGTAAGTGATGATCACGTTGGGCGTTGTGACATAGAGAATTAGTATGATCCATCGCCTTTTGTACGTAGAGATTTGCCTCGAAGAATGCCGGTGCACGTAGCACCGTCATGGTATATTGTGTACCAATTGTGTACTAGTGTTCTTTACCTTGTGCCCTGAGGCTGAGGCCTCTCTTAACCTCTCAGCCTTATCAAAGTATCAATCGTGTATATACAGTCTTCTTCTGAGGATGTCTTGAATGTTAATTACAAGGAGCGATGAGGCTGCCGGCAGTGGCGGCGGCATTGGTGGAGGCGTTAATAGAGCCAACTTTAAGCCGTAAACAAGTCGGGAGTTATTAACCCATGGCGGATGGGGCTTAAAGGGGCATCAGAAACATCTATGGTATACAAGGCTGCGCCCAGAGGACTATGATTGACCCTACAAACAGCGTTTAACGTAAAATCAGTTGACAGTACCCCAAATACTACTTGTACTGGCGATTAAGTAATGTTGAAAAATGCGAAAGAATTGCCTGCAGCCACTCTAAAGTCTCAGAACAAGATCATATTGTCGTGATTTACGCCTTGTTCCAGGAAAGGCCTTCTTACAATTGAATAGGGATTATCCTTTCCGAAGAAGGCCGTCAGCCTTCAACAACCGCCCCCGTTTACTTGGAACGACCGGAAATCAGTGAACATGTAGCATCGATTAAGTAAATAGCATTAACCTAAAGACTTAAAGTGTCGCAATTGACTAAATACTACCATCTTGTGAAATGGAAAAGCCGATGTGATGGTTGTCGCAAGCATTCCAGGGTAAGAGGTCTAGCCTTGGTGATATCAGAAGGCTGTCTGTAATGACAGATAAAAAGGGATATAATCCCCTTAGGACCTAACTTCCTTCATGATTTTTGAGACTAGATTTCACAATTTTTATCCTTATGTCTGATATCATTAAACGAATCACTTGATTCCTATGGGATGATGAAGACTATATCTTGATTGAATCTAACTGGCTGTCTGCACCTAACTTGCAATTGATGCTGTTGGAATTCAGCGTCCTTTCCATTTTTTTCTCGCCGTTGCTCTACATATTCAATCCAAGAATGCGAAAGCGACTGCAAGCCAATAAGGTAGATGACGATTGTGTGCAAGAGCGTTGTTCTTCATGAGACATAAGAGCCATGCACCATAATTGCTGAACTTGCTCCGCAGGCGTGGTCACAAATATGGACACTGGAGGACTGTGTGCTGTTGGTAATTTTATGCTGTTGGAAGTGTAAGTGATGGCATGCATTTGCTTTGGTTACCGAGAGGACATTTGCCACTCTTCTACTTATGTATGCCGTTACTTTGAACCCCAAGACGGCGAGTCCAAAGTGGGGTGAACCTTGCGTGTGGCCAATTGTGTGGGTAGTTGGTACACTGCCTTAACTCTGTTTTTGGGAGAGTTATTTTGACTTGATAGACCTGACAGCCGATGTTTGCATCGTGCGCGCCTTAATCGAACTTTGCGCTCCAATAGCAGCAGCTGGATTTCTCACATGATCGGCTGCTGAAGAGCTGTGATGGTCTTGATCTCGTGTTAGTGGAGCCGGAAATCGTGTATACTGTAGATCAGATAGCAGCGCCCCCGAAAGTGGTCGGTCGGTTCATCGGCAACGCCAGATTTCCAGCCACAACCAAATCAGCTGGGATGAACGTGGGGAGTTCTATTTCAGCATGATTATGATGTCGGATACGAGGCTTGGCATAGCCTATTGCTCGTTTGGGACTGCACTTAAACAATATGGGGATGGCTAAGGTTTAACGTGGATTCTTTTTTTCCGCGCTAGAACATTTATGATATCATTTGTTCATGACTGTTGATCACGAAAACTCTAATTATACGAGAGGTTGGGCAGCTGATTGACGGATCCTCGGGTTGAAGATGGACGAGATGGAAATATAAAATGCAACTGGATCATCAGACTGCATCAATTCCATCATCCTCATCAGCCTCAACATCATCTCAACATTAGCAAAGCACTCAACTCTTTGATCATCTCAATCCTATAAACTACATCAATCCACGCCTCCAGAGTTCAACATGAACAGACTCATCATCGCCCTGGCCCTAGCCTCCGCAGCCTCTGCTGCCCCTCTATCTCGTCGCGAGGAGTGCCAGGATGCCTACAAGTCTTGCATCGCCGCTGGTACCCCAGAGGTTGCATGCTCATGCACTCTGACTGCCTGCGTGGGCGAAGATAACGCTCGCAACCGCGAGTACTGCGCTTCTGCGACTGCATCGCTTGCTCAGCCAACCAAGACCGAGATTCCCGGAGGATGCAATCCTGCTCATCCCGGCTCATGCCCTTCATCGTACTTTACCAACAAGTACACTGCCCCAGCTGAGACATTCACCTCCATTCCCGGCATTCCCGGTGGTTGTAACCCTGCGCACCCTGGTTCCTGCCCCTCGTCATACTTTACCAAGACCTATACCGCTCCGGCTCAGACCTTTACCTCTATTCCTGGTATTCCTGGAGGCTGCAACCCTGCTCACCCCGGATCTTGCCCATCAAGCTATTTCACGTACCCCGTGGCCTCTAAGACTGCGGTGCAACCTGCTCCTGCCCCCGCTCCTACCGAAGACTGCTCCGAGGGCACCACCCAACCCGCGCCCAAGCCTTCTGAGGGTACCACTTATGCCGCTCCTAAGCCTGTTGAAGGCAAGACTTGGACCATCAAGGATCTGACTCGCTACTGTGGCGAGGGTAACGACGGCTGTGATTATAACTTTGAGATCGCACCTGGTTCAGATGGAAAGACCGAGCGATGTACCGTCATCCGCATGCCCGGCAAGGATGCTGCCACCGAGAGCTGGTCTAACGAGCCTTGCACCGACGGCTCTGAATTCACTGTCTCTTGGGGATATGTAACTGAACCTGCCCCTGCCTTTGCTGTTATTTCCGTTGTCAAGGGCAAGGAAATCGCCTGGTTTGGTGTTCCCAACGTCAACGGCCAGAAGGTCACTACTACTCCTTCTAACCCCTTCGGCTCTGGACAGTTTGGTGACCTCGGTCCCGAGCAGGTCTACACTTACTAGATGGTTTTACGCATAAGGATGAGAAAGGACATACGACATACAGTTTATGACTCGAATGATATAATACACCCGCTCATTAAGTAATTTTAGAATTAATATATAGACTTCATTCTTTTATCCAACAACATTAATAGAGATAGATCAATATCCACTAGCTCGTATCTCTTAATATCTTGACTTTAGCTTCTAATCGACGCATGGGCTTACTCTATTCACTGATGAAGTCCAGCTAGTGATATCAGCCGTGATCTATTCAGCTACCTACTCCATAGGTCAATCTCACTTAAACAACATTCTGGTTCTTGAGCTTTTACCCAATCATAGCTCTCAGCAGGGCTATTTCCTCTTCAACTTCTCTTCGTTGTTCAAGTGCAAGAACTCCCGTTGCTTTTGGTATAGTCGCATGGCCATAGTAAGACCTGTCGTCGAATGCATCTCCAAATGGAAGACTTGTTATAATCCTTGATGATCCGTCGTGCTAATCCGTCTTTCACATGTTCCAACGTAGTCGTTTCTCAAGAGTCAAAGCTTTGGGGTTGTTTCCCCGAAAATTCACTTGACACGACTAACCTTAAACTATAGATGAGATATGCATACAGACATGCAGACCTGGGGCTTTCGGCATTTGAATACCGGCAGTTCTCAGGAAAGCGGGGAGAGTTCTGACCACCGTGTCATACGAACACAGAACAATACGACGCTGCGAGCTCATTAGCCAACCATTTTCAAGTACTTACACTTAGGCTCAATCGGAAGTAAGGGCAGCCGCTGGGAGAAAGTATTACATATATCTTTGTCAAGCGTATAAGTGGTAAAGAAGAAATTTAGTTGTTGGCTGGTGCGTAGGTTTGTCCGCATGATGTGGTATGGCATGGATACTGGATATTCACAATTGAGCGTCACGCAGCACGTGATAAGATCTATGCGAATACTTAAACCTCCGATTATACTTTATCAAGTTCTCTTTGATCTCGGCCTTTCAGGAATAGTAGGCCTTGTCTTATTTCCAGGTGCTGTTTCTCGTACCTATCACGCAAGTAAATTGAACACCGATTCTGAACAAACCCGCCTTGCATAATGCAACCCAACTATCAAGTAGCTCCCGATGTTCGTTTTCACTGACTTGGATGCCTGCTCTGCGCACTACTAACTATATCTAGGGGACGCGAATGTGGCTTCTCCATATCGGCAATCTCGTGGCTGATGAAGGTGTTTTTCTCCCCCTTGTCAGCTCTCCATTCCCAAGGACATAGACCATTGCCCAATTAACTCGAGCAGGGAAACGTATGTACTGCCAGCCATCCAATCTCAGAGAACAAGAGAAGACATTTAGTCATGATATCCGTCCTTATCGAACACCCCGAAGACGGCCTTTTGCTCTATGAGACAGGTGCAGGCAAAGATTACCCAGAGGTATGGGGTCCTCAGCTCGCCGATATCTTTGCCAGAGGCGAGTATAGCGAAGACATGGAGCTCGACGCAGCTATCAAGAAGACTGGTCATGACATTAAAGACGTCAAGGGTGTCATCATTGGGCATCTGCACTTGGATCATGCAGGTGGGCTCGAGTACTTCAGAGGTGCTGATGTGCCTATTTATGTTCATGAGATTGAACTCAAAAATGCTTTTTACAGTGTGGCTACCAAGGTAGACATTGGTATGTATATCATTAAACACTCGTAGCATCAAATTAACCAGCTCCTGCAGGAGTCTATCTACCAACCTATCTCCAATTTGACCTAAACTGGACGCCGCTCTACGGTGACAGTATCCTCATCGCGAGGGGTATCACAGTGCATTTATGTCCCGGCCATACTCCGGGACTGTGCATAATGCAGGTCAACTTGAAAGAAAGCGGTACCTGGATATTTACCTCAGACCTGTACATTGTGCAGGAGAACTATGATAACCTTAGCACGCAGGGTTGGCTGACGAGAGACCACGCTGCTTGGTCTCAGTCTAATCAACTGGTGCACATGTTGCAGAAGGCGACGGGGGCAATGGTCATTCTTGGGCATGATCGAAATGTTTTGATGCGTCACAAGCTTGCTCCGGAGTACTATGAGTAGGTAGTAGCCATCTTTCCTGGTCGACAATGACGTTTTTAGGCGCTGGAATATGAGAGAGCCCTTGCTCTCATAGTTGTTCTTAATGGTCAGTATCGATTAATCGTCTCTGGCATTGCTTTCTCTCTCGAATCTAGCTCTTCATTGTTCTCTAGATATTCCAAGACATACGCTCCGTCTATGTATTTGTAGCAAACCTCGAGATTTGCGGTTATAGAGTGGTTAAGTGCTTCTCTCGATGAGGCCAACTCTTTATGTATGCCAATTACTATCATTATTATCCTTTGTATGGTAATTCTAAAATTAAGATGCGCACTGAGATAATAGTGTTCAATATGTACAGCAATGGAGCTTTCTAGACACATCATTGACCTCAAGCAGCCTGACAGTCATGACACTCATAACAGTCCAGGTCACTCCACCAGAAGGAATAAGGAACGTCGATGTCAATGCCCTCAGTACCAAGCTTATAAGTCGACAGAGCACAACTGACACGATTTGGGTCGGTATTATCAAGACCAAAGGCCTCGCAGTAACCCTGCTCGCGACATAGAAGGGCACAGTCCTCCATGGTGGTCTGACGTGCGTTTTCTTGGATACCCCGTCCCCACCAGCTGCCCTTCTTAACACCGAAGGCGTTGCAGGTTCGCTGGACTGGAGGCTCGACATCGTTGTCACTTTGGGGCCAATGGTCCAAGATACCGGGGATGGAGACGGATTGGGTGGGGAGGTTGTCAAGCTTTTGGCAGAAGCCGGGGGCTGCAATGCCGGTTGGGCAGGTCATGATGGTAGCCGTAGAGCTGGCAGACTCGGTGGTAGTGGTTGGGGGCTGCTGGGTAGCAGGTGAAGAAGAAGTAGTAGACTCAGCGGCCTGAGTGGTTCTTGTGTTGAAAGTGGTAGGTGTATCAGCTACAGCCTTGGTAGGAGCCTGACATGTCATCTCGGGGAGGACAACATTGTCATTGGTGAGAAGACCGTAAGTGGCAAAACCCATGTTCTGCCCACAAGCCCAGCAGCCGATATCAGAGAAGTAATCACTACCTCCCTCCTCGGTGATCTCATCGGTAGTGCCAGCATACAACTTACAGTTCCTCTGAGACAGAAGAGAAGTGTAAGAGTAAGATTGACAATCAGCATACATGGCGCACATATCTCTGCACTGATCACCACCACCGCAAGGCTGAACAGTAAGAGTCGCGAACTCCTGAGCACAAGACTTGAGCGTTCCCTTACGACGGACACAACCCTTGTTAGGAGTGTCACCCATCTTGTTGATGCAAATGCTATCCTCGGGAAAGCTAGGGCAGGGCTTGGAGATGATACAGCTGCGGTCATAAGAGGTGAACTGGGTACCAGTGTTACCAACAGGAACGTCGCTCAAGACAGAGGCGATGAGACGGCATTCGTTGGCACAGTTGTTCCCGTAGCTCCACTCAAAGGACTTGCAGTTCTCGTCAGCGAGACAAAGGGCAGCGCAGTCTTCCTTCTGATAGTTACTGCTTGTGAAGCGGCTGTATGCTCCAGCGCTATTATAAGGCTGCATACCGCATCCGCGACCCTCGATAGAGGATGTACCGACGTTGGCGCAGACGCGGCTGACAGGACCATCGGGCTTGATTGTGGAGGACTGACGGGGGGAGGAGCTACCGCCTGATGTTGTGGCGCTTGTAGCAGCTGACTCGGTGCTGGCCTGTTTCTCGGTGCTTGATGTTGTAGTTTGGGCACCCGGAGTTTGAGCACCTGGAGTTTGAGTACCAGGGGTCTGAGGACCAGGCTGTGAAGTAGCTTGGGTGTTGCCTCCAGCGGAGGTCTGGCTGTCGACAGGACCAGGGGTATTATTGCCAGTGGGAACAGTGTGAGGGCTACCAGTGACTGGAGTATGATTGCCAGTGGATTGGGTGTTGGAACTTCCAGTACCAGGAGTAGCAGAGTTGGAAGACAAGTCTGAGCGCTGAGTATGAGTTGGGATGATGGGAGGCACAGAGGTAGTTCCAACCTTGCTAGAGGTAGTCGTCTGTACAGCGGGGGATGAAGTAGTAGTGAAGTCAGAGACATCTCCATCACCAAGATCAAGAGGATGGTCATCAATTGTCGCGGGTGTAACTTGATTAGACATGAAAAGGGAGTCAACGTAAACCTGAGCAGAGCCTCCAACCAAGCAGTTCATAGAGATAGACAGAGGTGCAGAGCGTTGAGCAGCAGTGACCTGCTCCAGAGCCATACCCCACTGCACACTCGTTCCAAAGCTGATGATCCAAGTCTGGAAGAAGGTCTGGCTACCAAGCGAAGCAGTCAATTGGCAAAAGTTTAGCGACGGGGCGGTAACGACAAAGTAGAAGAAGCGAACGGTATAAGGCCTAGTCAAGCTCAGCAGCTCCAGCGACTGCGCAACACCAGCAAAGCTTCCGAGATCTCGCTTCTTATCACCACTAGCCTGTAGCGAAAGACACCCTGAGTCTTTACTACCATCGCCTTTGTAGCCTGGTCCAATGACGATGGTCGCATCACCGCTGGCAGTGAAACCTGGGATACCACCTTCAGGAGGGGCGATGGAGAAACCGCCGCCGTCGATGACGCTCTTGATAACGACGGATCCGGCGGTCTCGGAAGCAGCTGCTGAAGTCGCGGTGTCGGAGGGAATGAGATCGGTCGTAGCGGAGCTGTGAGAAGGCCGAGGTTTGCAGTGGCTTGCGGCAGCGATATCAAGGGTGCCACTAAGGGCCAAAGCCACGAGGGCTACGACGGAGCGCATCGTTAAGGAGCGTGTAGGGAAGACGAAAGAGTGGCTGTGAGGACGAACACTCACGAATAATACGGATGCTAAGAAAGGAAAAGAAACATGGCAATTTTCTGGGAACAAGTCTTATTATGTCTGAACTAATCATCGAAATCGTCGGTTACACGGCAGATAAGGACATTGCGCTTTGCCCCTGACTTGTGAGCGGACAAACGATAGTTGCGTATAGCTCCCAAATAGATCCATTGTGTCGGGTCTTGGGCCGGTATTCAGCTCAGCCACGGAACCTATTGGAGGATAGTGGCCGATTGAAAAAAGGGTCTGAATCAGAGATTTATGCTTAATGAAGTGTAGCGCCGAGGACTGTGGCTGTCATCTTCCAACGCGTTTCCTCTTCTGGTGCACGAGATTAAGACATCACTTTACAGCAACAAGAAGTGGTAACAGTAGTACGGCTTAAATACGTAGAATATTTCTTTTGATCTGTTTCTCAGAATCATTTAGGAGCTTATCATTCTCTCACATTATTTATGTCAATAAATATCCAGTGGTGACATGGTTTTGTGCTGGTTATATCGTGGCTGATCCACTCCCGAAATCTAGAACTTTAAAGTGTCGCGCTTGGTCAAATAGCGTCATCAATAATTCCCCCCATTCTGTCACTGGGCTGAATGAGACCCCTTAAAATAAGATTCAAGAGAAAGTCCCATGATATCGGTAATGACTTTTCTGAAGCGCATGGTCCTGCGCCCCCGGATCCAACCGAACACGTGAGTTACCTGCAGAAAATAACCCTACTTAAAGTTAGGGTTGGCTTTACACCATATGGCTAAAATGAATATATGCGACAGATTTACTTTCGTGTGCAGTTCTCAAAATTTGACATGCAAAAGGTGATTCGCTGGAAGTTTGCAACATGGTCGATATTTTGATAAATAAGTGCCGGATCAAAGCTTAACCTCCTTGGAGCTGGTATTATCTGTTTGGCAAACCTGTTAGCTCTGAGGTTTACCATATCAACGAATCAAAGATGAAAGTCTCCAGCCGCGTCACGAAAGTAATTATTTGAGGAGGGAATATATATAGAGCAAGATAAAAGAATATGAAACCATTACAGCATCCCTACAAAGTCCGTGTTACCAAGTCGTTGTTATTCCTACACCTTTTCAACCTCTCATACAGACCAACGTGTCTAAGCAAGGACAGATATAAAACGTCTTTCTTATCATAAAGCCGACAACCAAAATGGAACAGCAAACCCCAGACGCCGAGGTCGTCAACACGATCCAGGGTGTAAAGTCCCTCGCCGATGGCATCGCAGTTCTCAACTCCTCCCACGAAAGTCAACAAGTGCCACTACTCTACATCGACATCGAGCCAAACAGTCTCGGTGTAAATGGCGAACTCAACCTCTTGGCGATCATGCTGTGCTACGGGCCAGAATATCGCCGACGTCTGTTCCTCGTCGACGTCAACCTCCTCGCAAACCAAGCATTCTCCACGCGAGGATACTACGGCGCCAGTTTGCGAAGCATCCTCGACTCTGCGTCGTACCAAAAAGTCTTTTTTGACGTTAGTCATGACTCTCATATTCTATACACTCAGTATGGGATTAAGTTGCAGGGGGTTTATGACCTGCAACTCATGGAGAATGCGTGTTGGTCACAGGAGCGCAAGATACGGCATCTACAGACTTTCGACCCGTTGGTGCAGAGCTTACTCGTCCACCGGAAGAACCGAAAAAGATGGTTGATTGACAAGTTCAACGGAGAGTGGGCGTACAGGTACGGCGCTAGATCGCCGCACATAGTGTTTCAGAAACGTCCGGTTGTCTCGTACATTCGATCATACTGCTGTCGGAATGTTCGGTTCATGCCAGAGTTGTATGAGAAGATCTGGTATGCTGTGCCGATGATTATGGATTTAGTTGTGCAAGAGGCTCAGAGACGAGTTGATGAGAGCCAGGAGGATGGGTATGATCCTTTGGCTAGTGGTCGGTTGAGAAGTCCTTGGTCTGCTGAGCAGCATAAGGAGCTTGATTAGTGGCGGGAGATGAGCCCCGGGCCCCTCGATTTGACATTGGGCAGTTTTTTTATGTGATATGGGGAAATGGAAGCACGAAGCAGCTGGAAGATTGAGACTTGGATAGGAGAGCCTCGATGACATGCCTGGCCAGATAGTCTAGCACTGGGAGCTTTCTCAGTTTTTCCATGTAATGTTAATTTTGAAGAGCTTTGTAACAAAATGGTACGCGTTTCCGTAGAGCTGCCCAGGTAGATCGGCTAGACTTGTTCATGGTATTCTGACGACTATTCTACCAGTGACTTCCTGTCGTTTCAAGCCCTCAATAACATTGCCCACTTCCTCAAACTCAAGAACCTTAACCTCGGGAACTATTGTGCCTTCAAGGGCATGCTGCAAGAGCTCCTCCATCTGCTCTTCTGTGCCAACCGCAACGCCGGTGACAGTCAGCGCTGGTAAGTAAGTCAACAATCGACCGCAGGGAATAGGTAAGAAATTGCTTACATCTTGCCGAACATATCGTTGCAGAGAGCGGTATGTTAAAGTCATTCCTTGGCAGGCCAATCGTGACGATGATGCCCATATTTCGTACTAGATTCGGCGCTTGAGTAAAGGCTTCTTGAGAGCCAGTCACCACCAAGACACCTGATGCTCCCTCTCCCGTTATTTCCTTGACCTTTTCTTCCACGTTCTCGGTTGCAAAGTCGATAAAGTGCTCGGCGCCACTGTCCAAACTCAACTTCCGTCTAGACTCTCCAGTATCAACAGCAATAACCCGCAGACCGTTCAACCTACTAGCAATCTGTACACCCAGATGACCGAGTCCACCACCTGAGCCAGATATAACACTCCAATCTCCCTTCTCAGCATATCCCTTTAGCTTCGACACAGCACCAGCCATCGTCAACCCAGCACAGAGCAACGGCGCAGCGACTTCACCAGCAAGGCCGTCTGGAATCTCAGAGACGTATCTCGCATCTGCAATCATATACTCCTGCAAGGTACCGGGGACATGCTTTCCTGTGTTGAGTTGTTTGGGACAGTTGTTGGCATAGCCTTTTTTGCAAATGGTGCATGTCTCGCAGGCGCTGTAGAGCCATTTCACGCCGACTCGCTTATTGAGTAGCTCAGCGTCAACGCCTTGACCGAGTTTTACGACTGTTCCTACGCCTTCGTGGCCGACTATGGGGTTATACGGACCCCATCCTGATAAAGCACGGATTTCTGAGCCACTAGTTGAGTTAGTTCATTGATCTCATGGCAATGGTAACGCTTACCATAGACCCGTAAATTCAAGCTTAACAAGAATCTCGTTTTCGCCCGGGTCACCAACCGGTATATCCGATCGAATTATGATCCGGGCGTCATCTCCAGGGTTCTCGATCAAGGCTGCCTTTTGGACTGATGGGATTGAAGAGCTCATGGTGAAAATGACGTCGAGGTTGTAAGTTCGGCGGGCTTGAGCGGGTTTAAGTGCCACTGTAAACACCGAAGACAGGGCGCGGGGCTGGAGCTTTAGTGGGTTTAGCAGCCGAACTAAAGTGCCGTTCCGTCAAGCTTGCCGATACACATGCCGAACCCGGATCAACGTTTCTGCGCCGGATGGATACAGATCTGCAGATTTAAGAGTCAAGAAACACATCATGAAGTTTGCAACGATGATTGTATTCATGATGTTTTATCTAGTACCACTAAATTCGAGTCATCCGTTTCATGTGACTGTACTCTGATTGCCCTAAGTATGTCCAGTGATGGGCTTGGCCTGATACAACTCCTCCAAATACTTGACCTCCTCATCACTCAACTTCTTCCCCCTAGCCCCAATAGCCTGCTCGATCCTTTCAAGACTACTAAACCCAATAATCGGACTTGTTACCCGCTGGTTAATCCAAGCCAGCGCAACATGCGCCATAGGCCAATCATACTTCTCCGCAACCTCAACAACCCTCCCAATAATCTTCTGATCAGTCTCCGATAACTCTCCAGACCTTTCCTTCTCCTCCTTACTCCTCTCCGTGGCTCCAAATTGCGCAGGTGGTCGTGCAAGATGTCCTCTACAAAGCGGCGCCCATGGAATAATCCCAACGCCAGTATCGTTGCAGAAACGAATCATTTCGCGCTCCTCTTCGCGGTATAGTAGGTTATAGTGGTTCTGCATGCTGATGAATTTGGTCCAGCCGTTCTTTTCGGCGACGAATTGCATGCGTGCGAATTGTGTTGCCCACATACTACTCGCGCCGATGTAGCGCACTTTTCCGGATTGAACTAGATCGTGCAGTGCTTTCATGGTTTCTTCCAGGGGCGTGTCGTCGTCGAAGCGGTGGATCTGGAGAAGGTCGATATAATCTGTGTCGAGACGAGCGAGGGAAGCGTTGACTTGGTTAAAGATTGCGGCGCGGGAGAGGCCGTATTGGTTCTGGTAGTCTTTTGAAATGGCGAATTCGTCCTTGAAGTTGATATTACGCACGCCTGTATAGCATCAATATACGCGAATATAAGTAAGCGAGATGCTGCTTACTTGGCTCTTCACCCACGGCCCAGCGGCATTTACTGAGTATAACGACCTTGTGGCGGGGAATGTTGAAGTTCTTTAACGCTTTGCCGACGATTTCTTCCGATGCGCCATTACTATAAGTATTCGCGGTATCCCAAGTATTCAAACCGCGATCGTAGGCAGCTTTGAGAAGCTCCAAGGCCTAGGAAGCTATCAGCGACATGTCTGGTGAGGATTGGTGCTCATACCTCATCTTCCCCGATCACCCAAGGAATGGACCTCTTATCACCAAAGCTCATGCATCCAAACACAGGGACCGAGATGCGCAAACCCGATTTACCTAAATTACGATACTCGCATTTCGAAGCCTCGACAGACTGCTTAAGACGAGGGGGAAGTTCTTTTGCAGACATTTTCGGGTTGAAGATTGAAGGGGAAAGGTGGGAATTAAGAGGGGAATGCGGGAGTATTAATGATATGAGATAATGTGAGATAAGGCGTGATTGATAGGCGGATAAATAGAGAGCAATGTCATCATCACGTTGCGTGCTTTGGTACCCCGCTGCTGATGGTTCAATTCGTTGTGATTGCAATTGTGCTTATCTTGTGCATGAAGCTATTCCCAGTCTGTACATATCTTTTAGGCTATTCTCCCGCTACAACACTGATCAAATAATACCTAATCATCTCTGAGGTATGTCCCATAATTAACGTTGGCCGAGATCAATTAATCGTCAGTGGATGTTCTGCACAGAACTTCTTCACCACATGGAAAGACCTGCTGTGCAACGAATTAAACACAGACAATGACGGTCTCACCCCAAGATTGGTCCTCTCGCTTCAGCTAAGCCAATTATGCTTCCCATAGCTCCTTGGCTCCGGCGTGTCGACCCCCAAACCGCCTAGCTCACACCGTTCTATCCTAGCGTCTGCCAAATCTTTGCGGGGATTGATCACCATTCTGTGGGGAAGAGTGTCGGCAAATGCCATCGGATCCCGGGGGCAGGGAGCAGCTGACGTCTTGCTTTTCAATCCGAGGATTGCGAGTTGACAACTTTGATCCAACATAACCACGACCTCTAACGCGATATCTTATCACCAGACCTTTTTTGCTACCTCGAAATTTTGCGATTATTCGAACAATTGAGGGAAAATGCAGTCGACAAAAACTATGAGGAAACGGGTCTCGAGAGCTTGTAATTTGTGTCGGGCGAGAAAAGTGCGGTGCATCATTGAGAATCCAGCTGGTCCCTGTGTCAACTGCAGACACAACGACAAGGTCTGCACATTCAAGCGCCGCCATGGAATAATGCACGTCACAACCTCCCTCCATAACTCTCCCTCTAACCAAATTGACAGATCAACGACCCCCTCACTACGACCAAACGAACCCCCGACGCCCCGATCCATCGAAGAATCAACCACCACGACATCCGAACCCCGAAGCATCCTCCCCGCAACACAGAAGCCCTCACCACCAACGGCCCCTACAACAATCACACAACAACCGCCAAATTTCGCCGCTGGATCGCCAACACATCCTGATTACGCATTTCTCCAAGTCCCCGATACAAAAGACCTGCTCCCGCAAGATTTAGCATTCCTCGTTAGCCAAGGATGTTTTGTGGTTCCGCAGCGCGCGGCGCTGGATGATTTTCTGCGACAGTATTTTCTGCACGTGCATCCGATGCTTCCGATTCTGAATGAGAAGGATTTTTGGCTGTCGTATAATTCGGTGGATAATGATGTCGAGTATGAGATGCCGATGCTGGTGCTGCAGGGGATATTGTTCATTTCTTCGGGGGTAAGACGTTCAATTGAGATAATGGCATAATACTGACGGGTATAGTTTGTTTCGTCTGATACGATCAAGATGCTGGGTTTTGAGGATGTACATCAAGCCAAACTCGCATTTTATCGCCGATCAAAGGTAATTCCCCTGCTCTGGAAATACACCATCGCTAACATGATCAGCTTCTCTATGACTTCAGCGTCGAAAAGTCTTGCATCGCCATAGCCCAAGCCTCCCTCCTCCTCGCGCACACGCATCTCATCCCCCGCTGCATAGCAGGCAACAAGCCCCTCGGCTCAATCTGGCTCGGCATCGCCATATCCTACGCCCGTGTCGCCAAAGCGCACTGCTACTCGTCCCTGCGCCCCAACAAAGACACCGAAGTAGCCAAGGTCCAAAAACTGCGCAACACCCTCAAGCGCCTCTGGTGGTGCTGCATCATCTGCGACCGCTTACTGCCTCTAACATCCCGCCAGAGCATAAAGATCACACCCTCAAACTTTAGCTTTTCTTGCTCGAAGCTGGGAAGTGCGGATTTGTGCGATGAGCTGTATAATTCTGATGTTTATGACTCGACGACGAAGACGCTGCATGCTGAGTTGCTTTCGAGGCTGGTGGATCTTTGTGTGGTGCTGACGGATGTTTTGACGGTTACGTCGGTGCTGTATAATAATCCGTCGTGGATGTTGACGGGGAGGATGGAGGTTGGCAAGGATGCGAGTTTGTGTCAGATGGAGCTTTGCCGGTGGTATAGCTCGTGGAGTGAGACCAAGACGACGTTGGATGAGAGGATGGCCGAGGAGATTTCGCCGTCTTCGTCGATTATCTTGTTTAAGAATCTCATTGAGATGTACTACCAGTAAGTTTTCGGTCAGGAGTATGAGTATGAGTATGTAATACTGACCTTTGCAGTTCTGCAAGGCTATCCGTCTGCCATTATAATATCCTTCGATCGAGTTTGTTACCGCCCACTCAATCCGATACACAGCTCCGACGACAAAGCGAAGATCTACAAGGCTCAGCATCACGCGTGACAGAATGTCTACTCGAATTTGACCGCCTAGGGCTATCACGATGGCTCCCAATGACTGCGTAAGTGATTCTTCACAAAACCTAACTCATGACTAACGGTTTGTAGCATCGGGTGCACAGCATTTCCTCTAGCACTTCAAATGATCGACGTTGAGCTTCTCCGTCCCAAAAAGCCAGCATCACCAGAAGAAGGCGTCAAACTCACCCAAAAAGAACAGCACGTCGAGAATATCCTCAAGCAAATGAAGAGCTATAAGAAGAAGTATTACATCACAGACTGGGTCATGCGAGCGATTCGACATGTTGTTGAACTTGCCAGACAGCGATCGCCAGCACCGATGTCCACCGACGACGACTCACCGAGCAGTTGTCTCGATATGCTCAAAACCCGACCGAGCTACTACCTACGACTCGTCATGACGCTTGATATGAGTATCAGCAACGGCAGACTCCCTGACGAATGCGATTTCCCCCCATCTCTACGAAAAGCAGGCCGTGGTCTCAGCTCCAGATCCCAAGCAACATCCATGCCAACTGTCGACGAACAATCAATGAAGCGCTTCTCCGCCATGAACAAACATCTCATCCCCGATAATCTGACAGATTTTATGGACCACAATAACATCATGACTTCAAACCTCCAAACTCAAGATCTACGCAACATCGACCAAGAAGCCTTCTTCAACAACAAACAGCCCTTTCCCGCTGATCTAACAGCAGCGCTATGCGAGATTACGAATATTCCACCGCTGGATTTCAGCGACATGTCTTTGATGGATTCAACACATTTTAATGACTTTGGAGGCGTTCCGTTTTGGCCTTATGATTTATTGGGGTCTCCGCCTGATCAGGCTGGTGGACAGGTCGAGGAGGTTGGGATGGGTGATATGTTTACGGGACTGATGGGTGATATGAATGATAAGACTTACGAAGGGAATGGAAAGGAGAATGCAGCTGATGATTTAGTCATGAATTCCTTTTGAGTGAGGATGTATTTATACTGGGAAGGATTATAAAAGCACTTGTTTTCTTTCAGCCGGCAGTATAACCTGTGATTTTTCAGACTTGATTGACTATCCGCTTACCACTTGACCAACTCTTGAACCTTGACGGGCATACCACTCTTCATACTATGATTCGCCCCGACACCCACCAAAACCGCATTCCCTCCATCCCGAATATTAGCAGCCCTCTTGAAATTATCAACCTCGCCACCCAGCAGCACATCCTTCAACAAAACAGGATCACCGCCTCCATGCCCGCCCTCCGTCTTCACAACATCCACAACATACGGCTTATCAAACAGCGGATAAACAACAATCTTGGTCTGCTCAACTCCGCCCTGTATGTACTTCTCATCCTCTCCCGAAGCGTCCTTTGTTACGGGATCGCCGAGGGGGTTGTACCCGCTCTCAACGACGTTGACTTCGATTCGGCCCTTGCTGCCGTTGAAGACACATCTATATCCTTCCCATGGGGCGTAGGCGTATGTGTTGTATGTCATGACGGCGCGGTTTTTGTACTTGATTATCATGGAAAGGTTATCCTCGATGGTGATACCCTCTGCAAAACAGTTCCTGTCGCGGATGTACCCATCTTCATGCTCAGCGTCAAGATACAACTTCTTCATGCGTTCATTCTCATCAAGCTGGAACGCAAACGGGTCGTTCTTTGCGTTCTCATTATTCTGATACCGCTCACCCAGATTCTTCTCACCTCGTCGCTCAGCGTTTTCTTTACCGTAGAAACGAAGATCGCCGAGGCAGTAGACGAGCTCAGGTTCAGTGTTGAGCCAGAAATGCACAAGGTCGAAGTGATGGATTGACTTGTGCATCTGAATACCGCCGCTTGTTTCTTTATGCCGATGCCAGCGTCGCATAAAGTCTGCGCCGTGTGCACAGTCGAGAATCCAGTCCATGTGTACTGTTGAAATCTCGCCGATGACGCCGGAGTCGATGAGTTCTCGGACTTTGGTGTGATGCGGCGCGTACCGATAGTTGAAAAGAACACGGACTTGTTTCCCCGTCTTCTTCTCTGCGTCGATCATAGCTTGGAGCTTGTGCTCGTCGATAGTCATTGGCTTTTCCGTGATGGCATCGCAGCCTAGCTCCATGGCTCGAATGCAGTAATGATGGTGGAAGAGGTCAATGGTCGTGACAATAACAACGTCTGCTTTTTGCTCTTGAACCATCTTATCAAAATCCGTGTCTTTATAAGTCTGCACTTTTTCACCGCCGAGCTCGACGATGTGATCGTTTGCCACGTCCATGCGCGTCTGGTTCGTATCGCAGATTCCAACAAGCTTGGCGACGTCTTTGAAGTCCTGAATGATAGCTTGGTAGTACATAGCCGAGCGAACGCCCATGCCAACAATGACATAGCGCTTAACCTGAGGAGTAGCCATGATGAAATTGACAAAGACCGAAATGTTGTGTATGAGTGACGATGATGAACAACCCCTCATGAACACCAGGAGATATAAATACTCGAAGAGGTAATCCGACGTCGGATTACTCAGAATGAGTACCCCGCGTTGATTCGGGGGAGTATTTGCCGAACGAGGTACATTACAACTGTCAGCATATGAGAGGTGGAGAGGGTGCTTGGCTGAATTGCAGATCGGGCCTGCTTTGGCCAGTTACATTGGAATATCAAGATTCGTGGCATTTGTCGTTCCAACTCGTTGGATGATTTGGAGGACGGTTTCCACTGTAATTATGGTCGGTCGCTATTTTTGAGACCGAATTGGAGCAAAAGCCTCACGATGTCGAGATCAACGATGGGTCTGGATATTGTTCGCGGGAAGAAGACCGATTTGCATGATGCGGAGTTTAGGTGTACACATGTATCGATGGACTTTTGGAGATACCTATGCTATTAAAAGCACCGCAAACAGCTTCCAGGGAGATCTAGAGGTCTCCCAATTGGTTTAAAATACAAACAAAAATTCATCGTTGACCAAATCCGTCATGTCATCAAACGCATGATCTCCAACAGTCGCATCCCTCGCATTCTCGATATGCTGTCCCTCGGTCGCCTTGGACCTTCGAAGACGATCAGCTTCCTCGGGTGAGTACAAGCTGTAGTCCACAATCACTGCATCCTTTCCGGCCATGACGCGACGGCGGCTATGGTCGCGATTGAGGTAGGTCAGATACATGGTTGTAACAACAACAAGGCCTACGATTGCGATGTAGAGGAGTAGATTCCAGTATAAGCCTCGGTGATATTCGGGCGCCTCTGATGGTTTGTAGAGAAGAGGACCAATGATGTTTCCGAGAGATTGGCCGATGAAGAGGACTGATGAGTTGCATTTGCCTTTGGTGTCGCCGGCAGTGTTAGATGAAGACCATGAGTATATCAGAGGAACTATAAACAGTCAGCGCGCGTAACGAATCATAGTACGAAAGACGGACTTATTCCTGGAAAGACGGATATCATGTAGTATCCGCCGAGCAAAGTATTCCTACCATCAGGTGTATGCGGCGTTGAAAGCATGATCATGCAGCCAACGATTGGAAACATAGCCAGGAATGCAATGACTGGGCCTTTCTTATGATACTTGGTCGCGACGTAAGAACCTCCAACTGTAGAGATGAACTGAACAACACCAAATGGGGCATTGAAGAGGATAGCTTGAAAAGAATCGAAGCCAAAAGACTTGATGAGAAGAGGGCCGAAAGAACCGACGCCACCAGAGGGTACTCTATACATCAGAACGTCAGCAAGTGGTCCGGTGCGGAAGATGGAGTACGTACGAAATACTGAAGATGAGAGAGAACCAGAGCCAAGTCTTGAGATCTCGCATGGTCTCCCAGAAATGGTCCCATCTCCATTGCCGCGACATGACACCAGTCTGGTTCATTCTCAGCCGTTCAATGGCGATGAGTTTATCGTGCTTGTCTAGGAATTTAGCCTCTGCGGGAGAGTCGGGCATGTATGAGAATAGAACGGTGGAGAAGCAGACGGTGATAATTCCAAAGGCGACAAAGATGGTCTGTCTCGTCAGTACGTATCCCTAAACAGAATGAGTCGTCTCGAACATACCTGGTATGGTTTCAGTCCAAACGGCAGCTGCGCAAGCCACCAAGTCGCCAAACTCCCAAACTAAACCCGTCAGTCCAGTCCAATTCCATAAGGTGGAACTCAACTTACCACGCCAGTGAATCCATTCATAGCATACCAATACGACATTCTGAGCGGCTGCTCTCTCCTCCTCCAGAACATCTGCGTAATAGCCACGAAACTCGGTGCAATACTGGCTTCAAAAGCACCCAGCCAGAAACGAGCAAAGAGCAGACTATGAAAGGTATGTGCTGCCGCCATGAAAGTGAGGGTAAGTCCCCAGAGGGTGACCATACAGCTTGTGAATTTCCCAATGGGCAGTTTCACAAGAAGCCATGCTAGCGGAAATTGCGCGATGAGCTGGGCGACGTAGACTATTGAGCTGAGCCATGAGAATTGATTGCCCTTCAAGTTCGTGTCTTCGATGAGGCCGAAGATCGATGCATACGCGATAGTCGCTTTGTCAAGACCTGTAGACGTCAATATTATTTCTCTAAGGGGCATATGAGATCTCACCTTGGAGGAAATAAACAGCCAGCATAAGCGGCAAAACAACCATGTCAATCCGCCTCAACACTCGCGCATCATCCTCAGGCGTGACTTTAATCCTCCTCTCAGGCGAAACACCAAGTCTCCTCATCAAATCCGCCGCTGCACCCTCGGGATGACTCCTCCCATGCGCTTCTTCTCCGTCTACGAGATCCATTAGCGGGTGTTGGTCGTGAGATGACGCGCCCGGGTCGGGCGATGTGGAGCCCAGGCCTCGCGCTGACATTTTGATGGAGACTGAAGCTAATGAGTATGATTGAGGGATGAGGGGGGTTGAGAGAGAGGACAGGTTTATGTTGGGATGGAGGTCTTGGGGTGCAAGGGATGGTCAAGGGATGATGACTGCTGATCTTGGCCAATCGTAAATGATTGAGCTGGGGATTTGAGACGGGTTAGATAAGCAGAAGCGAGTTGCGATAAGATGTAGGGTAGCTGCACTTGAGAAGTTCATGATTTTAGGGATCGAAGCAACGCAGTATAGATATCATATCAAGTCGATTTAAATTAATAAAAACGAAGCTCAAGGCTTCCTATAATCATTCCAGAAAAACAACTTGGTTGTAGTCTGTGTTAAATCTTGGCCCACTTCAAGCTTGTGAGATCAGCCGTTTTGCGCATTACATCTGAGCTCTATCCAAGGTTCTAAGTCCATGATTCACCAGTGAATTCTGTCCTGGTCATCCACGCGACACAACGTCGCTTTATTGTTGGAAAACGTCTGCAGCAAACTTGATATTTTCGATGCTGTGAGACACGAATCTCGTGAATGCTGCATACAACGATGTTATAGCATCATAGCAACGATTACCTGCATCGACGTACGCGGATCACGATACTACGTCATCCGCCACCCCCACCTACAAGCTTCATAAAACAAACCAGGTTTCCTAGCTCCTCGACCCATCAAGCCACATCTTAAAACCCCATCTTTCCCAAAATCACTTTTTTTATACTTCACCCATGAACGAAGCACTAGGATCAATCTTCTCCGGCGCAATACCAAGCCAATTCATGGGCTCCCAAGACAAGCCCACCGACGGCGCGGCTCCCTCGGAGAGCAAATCCAACACCCAAGAGCGCATCGCCAAAGAAATCCACTCCCGCGTCGAGGAAGCAAAAGGCCTGCAAGAAAAATCCCTCCAACTGCACGAAAAAGCCGACAACACAGGAGATCCCGAAGAAGCGGAGAACATACGGCATGAAGCACGAGAGATTGATAAGAAGGCTGCTAAGCTGATGAAGATTGCTGAGAGGTTGGAGAAGGGTTGGATACAGGGCGGTGCGATGGGGACGGGGATAGGCGCGGGTGTGGCGAGCGGGCTGGGGTTGGGAGTCGGGGCGCTGTTGACGGGGGTTGTGGCGATTCCGACGGCCGGGTTGGGGTTGCTTATTGGGGCCGGGACGGGGCTTGCGCATGGGAGTTGGGTCAAGTTTACGGACGCGTTTACTAAGGATGAGGCTGATGAGATTGTTAATGGGGCGACGGAGGAGGCGGAGAAGATTGCAAAGGGTTGAGAAGAAGTTTGAGACGAGCATGGAAGCACCAAGGGAGATGGAGGATTCATGATAAGTCGATTATTCAGATTGCATATGGTTCAAGGTTACTGCTAGCCATCAATTTTATTTCTTTCGTTGGTCCATCATCATGTCTCTCTTTCAGCCAGTCACTCGCAGCATCAGCACCCGGGCCAGCCCTATCAGTGTTGCCAACAGCATGTCAGGACTCATCTCTTACCCTCGGACAAATCCCGTTCCAGTCCAAACCATCGGTACCCAAATCCGCATGAGCGGAATCACCGCCGCCAAGGCCCTTTATACAATTCCATCCTAGCGCAAGCATCTCAAACTCTCCAAAGTGGACACGCCTAAAAAACCCAACCCATCATCAGCCCATTCTCCAGTGGAGACTCCAACCCATCGACCAATCTCTGACACGATCAGATAAGATCTCAACGGTCTGATAACCATAACCCCAGCAATTTTTCATCTCGGAGACCCCTCGAAACGGTCTAACTCGAAGTCAAAAGCCGTATTTACGTACTTAGCCGCTTGGCACCAGTAATAGGATTTGTCAGGCATGCTTAAAAGCAAGGTTAATCGGAGAAGGGGTCCACGCCAAGACTCGCTATCAATCAGCTTTCTTGCCCGTTATAAGAAAGGATCATCGTGATGCGTGGGTGAATTAGGAAATAAGTGCCGTAGGTTTGAGGGGAATATTTTCACACTTAAAGCGCGGTCTTCCCAAAATTTTGAGGGAAATTTAGGCACGGAATCTTTCATCACTGACTCTGATTTTCGACAGTCGGTAATGATGGCAGATACTTTAGAGCGAAAGAGCGGAGAGGTGGTGGAGGAGGAGATCTCGAGACCTGGTTCTACGAATGAGGCTTTTAGAAAGCTATGGACCAAACGAACCCTTGGTTTTGCCATTGGATGGTCAGTTGTCTGAGGATCTGGCTGGACATTGGCGAGGCTAACGTTGGGCAGTATTCTTGTCATGTTCTTCTTTATGAACTTGACTGTCTACACGGGTAATGTCTACGAGCCTTATGCGACGAGTCACTTCAAGGCGCATTCTCTTCTCGCGACTGGGGCGATTGTCAACGGTCTCGTGCGCATCGTGTCGTATCCACTGCTCGCCAAGCTTGCCAACGTAAGATTCCACCAGAATTGGTACTAAAATCATTTCTAATTGAGTCTCCAGTATTTCGGGCGCCCTCAGAGCTTTGCTGGTGCGGCTATCTGCATGGCCATCGGCAACGCCATGTACGCAGGCTGTTCCAACGTCGACACCTTTTTAGTACGTCCCCTCTGCCTAACCTACTTCTTCCGACTGACAAAAACAAGGCAGGTGGAATATTCGACGTCTTCGGTGATACGTGGTGGAACATCATCCAGCAGATCTTCGTCGCAGACATTACAACCCTCGTTAACCGTGGTATAATCTTCACCCTTCCCGAGTCCCTCTCCGCCATCCCGACCCTCTACGGCGGAACATATCTCGGTGAACATATGCTCCTGCACTCAAGCTGGAGATGGGGCTACGGCATGTGGGCTATCATTCTGCCCGTCACTGCTATTCCTACTATTGGGATCATGATTTGGATGAATCGCCGGGCTAAGCGCATTGGTCTGATCACTGAGAAGATTTCGTTCATGCATGGTGCTGAGCCTGGTGTTGTTGGCAAGGTTAAGCATGTTGCTACGCAGCTTGATCTTATTGGCGCTCTTCTCCTCATCGGTGGTCTTGCTATGACGCTGTTGCCGATGACGATTGCGGGAAGGAATAATACCGATCGATGGAGTAGACCTTCGTCTATCGTTCTCATCATCGTTGGTGTTTTAACCTTTATCGCGTTCCTCGTCTGGGATGGGAGATTCGCGTCAAACCCAATTATTCCTTACCGAACTATTCGCGAGCGCAACGTCATTGTCGCCTGTGCATCGTGTATCGTCATCGCCATGGCTGATAGCATCTACCGACCCTTCCTCTCCAGCTTTCTCCAAGTCGCAGGCCATTACTCACCCGGCGCCGCAACACGCGTGGACAATGCCCAGCGCGTCGCCTACAACATCGGTGCACTAGTCGCTGGCCTCTCACTCAAGTTCGCCAAGAACACAAAACCCTTCATCATGCTCGGCGTTGTCCTCATCATCCTCGCCTGCGGTCTTCCCATCTACCTCACCAACATCTCGGGCACCCACATCGCCAGCGAAGCCGCCTTCATCACATCCAAGTCCCTTCTCGGAGTTGGCCGTGGCTTCACCCAGGTCCCCCTGCAAGTCTCGCTGCAAGCCGTCCTAGAAAACGAGCAAGTCGGCATCGCTACAGCCGTCTTCCTCTCGTCGCTCGGCTTTGGCTCAAATCTCGGCGTCACCATCAGCGGCGCCATCTGGAACTCTGTCCTTCCCCGAAAGCTTAACGCTTACTTTGGTAAAGAGGAAGGCGGCAAGATCTTTGGCTCTATCGTTGTTGCGCGTGCGTACGAGGCTGGAACTGCTGATAGAAATGCTGTGGATGAGTGCTACCGCGAGACTCAGCAGACTCTCGCTATTGGGTCTGTCTGCGTGTCGGGTCTTCTCTTAGTCATGGTTTATCTGGTTCGTAATGTCAAGCTTGGAGCTGAGGATGAGAAGAGGGCGGCCCAGGCTGATAAAGAGCTTGCTTGGGCTATCAAGCAAAAGGAGGCTCAGGATCACGCGCCAGTCGAGCTTGAGAGCGGCAGGCGTTAAGTTGATGAAGGTCTGTGTCAGATATCCCTTGGTCGTAATCCTTAACACTTGTGAGCGTAAAATAGTGGCGAAAAAAGGTTCATCCTTTACGGTCTAAAGCTGTACTATTGGTATTTCGCAATCTAAGCACTAGAATCGAGACTGATAAATAGAATATCATAAGAAAGTGCATTCATGTGTCATATCGACTGTTGTCTGATTCATAGTACCTGAAACTACCAAGTTGATGATAAAATAAGCTGCCTATGTTGCTCCTATGACCCCGGCAAGTGGAACACTTTTTCACATTACGTGACTTTCATAAAGCGGAATCCCGTACTTGAAGTCGTTCAAAAATGCTTTACATGCCAATACTTGCTAGTCCGCAGTGGGCAGGTGTAGGATCTAAGGCCTGTCAAGCACGACTGCTGACTTTCGGATACTTTCGGCACCTATACTCACCTGTTGATAGCCAGATCGACCGCATCCAATGATCCGGCATTCAAGAAGACATCCGACTTGCATGTGCCCAGCAGGTCTAGAAAGGCTCCGAGGGATTGTGAGGTTGTCGAGTATTGGCGTTCTTGCACCTCTTCCCTTGCTGTGCAGTTGAGCCAAGTAAAAAGACAGTTGTCACTTGTAATCATCACACTGCCAGTCTCTTTGGGGTTGTCCTCCGAGTAACGACGCCGATGGCCCGGAGGGAGAGGCAAATGAGGGCAATGGTCAGCTTCCGTAGCTTACTTGGCAGTGAGATTTACGAAGAAGGCCCATTGAAGGAAGCTTATGTGGCATAATACCCCGCTGATTGATCCATCTCCTACTGATGATAGGACAGAATGCGGAACTCGCTTCACTGGAGCATCGATTAGTATGGCGCAGGAGGATGGACGAGTTATTTGATCATCTAATCAGATTATCTGAAGGAAACAATCCCTGCTACCATTAATAACTCATAGAGCCAGTGTCACAGAATCCTACTTCTCTGATCTATAAAAGGCTGGTGAATCCCCCACCTTGCAGAGGTACCTTTTCCTCAGTCTTCATTATCAGTCACCTCATCTTATCTAACTTGCGCTATCTCCACAATGAAGTTTTCTACTCTCTTCCTCACAATTGCCTCGGTGGCTACTGCCATGGCTGCTGCTCTTCCCGAGCCCGAAGTCGAGATCCCAGGCAAGCTTGTGTCTCGCGATGAGTTCGAACTTGCTATTCGTCAGGCGGGATGCTCTGCTTGCATTCAAGGCATTCGATGCTGTAACGGCTCTTGCATCCGTGGATGTTAAGACTTGCACATAGACTCAAGCAACTCTGACTTCTGTAAGCTGAAGAATGGTATACCCTCTGGCGATTCAATTCAGGAAACTGACCAAAAAGATTCGTCAGGACTATGCTGCTGGCTTCCAATCAAAGAGTAGTATGGGAAAGAGAACTTGAACTTTGCAGCTGCATACACCGAATCTGCCAATAAGTGCACCATTAGCAATAATGAGGGATTTGAGGACTTTTCAATGAGCTGTGATATAATATAAATATCAACTTATAGTATCTCCTTTCTTGCCTACTAAATAAAGCAGGTATTTTACTTTATAAAGTTTTTAATTTAAAAGATATATTATAATTACTATAAAGGATAAGGAATTTCTATAAGATTTATTAAGTTAATAGGCAGCTGATTAATATTCTTAAAAAGTTTACCTTACTAATATAGCTTAAGATTTAGTAATTATAAACCTAAAGGCCAGATTAGGCTATTTATTTAAGTTTGATTAAATTCATATATCTTAGTAATTATACTATTAGAAAGGAGGGAAGGAATATATATATTTATCCTATTGTGAGAGTCTGACCTAACTCTATAAACCGCTTTACAGGCCTCCTGAGTCTTCTTTTAGGAATATATTAACTACATGGCATACCATTCTGAATTCCCTGTTGTGGTTTTATAAAACGAATAGGTGAGGGTAGCGTTTAGGATGATAAGGATTTCTCGTTCGATATCGGGCCATCACATGATGCAATATGATATACCAATTATTCCAACTTGTGGAATTCATGAATTGGTTTGATTGATTGAGTTCACAGGAGATCAGCGGCGTAAATGACTCGAGCTCTCGGTAGTCAGAACTACAAGACGGTAATACATTACCTTTTGAATGTGGGGTCAAGCCGACTAATCCAACAAAGGAAGCCCGTCGATCTACATTTGACAAGTCTGACTGACTCTCCCTTTCGCGGTGTAGCTATTCACCACATCGTGTTGTTCCACCGGTAGCCCACCGGGCATCCCACCGTACAATTTTGTTAACCTTAAAAATTTAGAGTTATTTTACGGCATACGCCGATACCAGAAACTATTCTGAAATAGGCAGGTTTGCTGTCTCCGTGACGCATTTATCCCGCGGAAAGAGCACACTAAGATTTGAAGGCCGTGCTTCCCCATACTTTTATGGAAAGATCTCCGGTGATCACTGCAGGAACTCGAAGAGTCTCTTGATCACTGGTGCGCCTACCTGTGTGGGGTATCGCTGTGTAAATTACAGGATACGAGGGCCGATCGGTATGTCAAAGCACTGCCAGGGTACTTCAAGCATGACTTCATCACAATTGCGACAGTTCTTACGAAAGACTATATATAGGAAGGCTGAGAATCTCGGTCGAAGCAATATAATTACCAACCAGTTCAAGCTCATCAATCTGGAACATTCATTCATCTGACTATCAACACTAATTATGAAGACCCTCATTGGTACCTCGGCTTTGATGCCACTTTTCGCTCTTTTGACTTGTGCCCAAAACACAAACATTCTGGAGCAGCATTTTGGCAATGACACGGACTGGTATCGTGACAGAGTTCCTATCTTTGAATGCAGCGACAAATCTATCACCGATGTCTACTACTACCGCTGGAAGATCTTCCGTACCCACCAGCGCAATGTGGGCTCAAATGGGTTTATCTCAACTGAATTCCTCGACAATGTCAGCTGGCAGAACAAAGATTGGGCCTCCCTCAACGATGCCTCCATCTTCCATCTGAATGAGGGTCGATGGTGTCGTGATCCGCGCTATAAGCAGGATTATGCAAAGTTCATGTACAGCAAAAACAGCAATCCTCGGCAGTATACCGAGGCTATGGCGGCAGGTGTCTGGAACAACTATCTTGTTGATGGCGATCCTGAGTTATCCTTGTCACTTTTGCAGAGTATGCAAGACAACTACGAAGCTTGGATCAAAGAACGCTTTGACGAATCCAAGGGTCTCTTCTGGATCGCTCCCCTACAGGATGCTACTGAATACACTATTGGTAGCATCGATGCATCTGGAGGCAGGGATGGTTTTACAGGTGGAGAGACCTTTAGGCCAACTTTCAACAGCTACCAGATCGCCAATGCTCGAGCGATCGCCAACATCGCCAAGATCAAAGGGGATCAGGCAGTTGTCGATAAATACAACGATCGTGCCGCTGCGCTCAAGAAACGTATGCAGGATGATCTTTGGAACTCGACCTTCAACCACTTCATCGATCGCTACTACGTTGACAACGAGTTTGTCAAGTATTGGGCTCCCATTCGCGGAAGAGAGCTGGCTGGTATGGTCCCATGGACCCACGATGTACCGGATGACAGCGAGGAGTATTCCAAGGCATTGGAACATATCATCGACCCAGAACGTCTCGCAGGACCTTTTGGCCTGCGTACGGTAGAACCCTCGTATGAGCATTACATGCAAGTCTGGCGCTACGAAGGTGATCACGTGGAGTGTCATTGGAATGGTCCAAGTTGGCCTTACCAAACTACGCAGGTTCTTACGGCTTTAGGTAATATCCTGGATCATTATCCCACCTCAGCTAAAGCGGTTAGCGTCAAGAACTACATCAGTCTCTTGAAGCAGTATGCAACTCAGCATTACAATAAGGATTATGGTACCCTCGATCTCGAGGAGAACTACGATCCCGATACTGGCTATCCTATCGTTGGACTAGGCCGCTCGCACCACTACTTCCATTCTGGATATATCGACTTGATCTTGTCGGGTTTTGTCGGAATCAGGCCTCGTCAGGATGACGTGCTTGAAGTCCATCCTCTTGTCGATACAGAAGAAATCTCATACTTCCGTGCTGAGAATGTTCTTTATCACGGCCGCAACGTTACTGTTCAATGGGACAAGATGGGCAACAAGTATGGTGAGGCTGGCCTGAAGGTACAGGTTGATGGACAAGATGTAGGGTCATCGGACAAACTCGAACGCCTCGAGATCAAACTTGAGCGCGAGATAGTTCCTGTTTACAGACCCATCGCCAAATCCGTCCAGCTTCAAGCAGACTCGTCTTCTCCGAAAGTCAGCTCTTCCATCCCAGACGCCGATCAACAGCGTGTACATGATGTTTTCGACGGACGTATCTGGTTTTGGCCTGAAGCAACTATTGTCAACGGCTTTGATACACCGGAGGGAAATACCGATGAGCAATGGGTTAGCATCGACTTTGGATCAGATCAACAAGCAAAGCGGGCAGAAATCGCTTTTTATGAGAACGTTGAACAGGGCTTTAATGTTCCTGCTAGCTATCGTGTTCAGATTAATGACGATGGTTGGAAAGATGTCAGTGGAGCTGACTATGGAAAGCCAGTCGCGAATGGTATCACCAAGGCGTCTTGGTCGGCTGCCTCAGCGGGGACCTGGAGGATTGCTGTAAAGCCGCAAGAAGGTTCTCGCACACGCCTGGTGGAGTTTTCTTTGTTCGAGTAGGCTAGGTCACAGAAGTGTAGAGATGGTCTACGCTGTACTAGTAAACAACTGAAATATTATGCGGTGATTTAGGACGATCATAAGGATCTTATCTCAAGCAATAGTAATATGCCTCGAATTTTACCTTCCAGAACGTTGTGCCTTGGTCGTTACCGACCCATCGACCTCTGCTCGCCAGTTAATCTCGAGGCCGGAGCCACGTAAAGGAATTATCATGATGGTGACACAATTCAAACTTTTCTGTTTCGAGACCTTGTATAAGCCAATATAACCTATCTCCAACAAGTTTGACTTCAACCTTAGATATGTGCAAGTCATCCCAGCAGGTGCCGACGTACTCGGTCAGTGGTCTTGGCGATGTTCCCGCTTTCATACCCTTCTCCAGTTCGTCCAACACTCGGGGGGACCATTTGAGATTCTCAGTAATTGCCGCTTCTTCTAGCCCAATAAAATCGGTTCTGAGCTCTGAAGGTACGTTGACAACCTCTTCAATGATCAGCTGACCGACCCAGTCCGCTGCATCATTAAGAGCCAGTTAGTTGGTAAGGACAACGATCACAGTCTCCGTCTCGGGCAAAAGGCCCACAAAGGTGAGTGATCCAGGAAGGCTTCCCTGATGGAACAGAACGAGACCGGAGGTACCTCTACCAATTGTAGGCATAACTTGAGGGAGTAATGCTGAGTTGAGGCCGATCCGTCCCAAGCGGCCTGGCAGCTAAACTCTTCCCCATCCAAATGCATACGAGGCCTCGTGCTGCGATGGCTGGTCAAATGGAATCTTTGCAGACACTATATGGCTTAGCTGTTTGAGGGGCGAGCCAATTTCAGGGCTAGAGTTTCCACTGGCCTGATAATTGAAGCATTTGATAAAGCTGCTGTATAGTTTGAGCAGATCTTTGACTGACGAACGTGCCCCACCGCTAGCGGCGCTGTACCCATCATCGCCCATCTTAAGAAAGTCGATAGGGACCCCGGATGCATCGTCGAGAGCGTTGTAGCATATGGATACACCATCGACACTTTTTGACGGCGTCTGGAAAGCGGTCCGTTCCATTCCAAGAGGGTTCAGAAGGCGGCTTTGCATGAGGTCAGAGTAGGACTGTCTACTGACTCGTTCAATGATAGAGCCAGCTAATTCGTATTGGAGGTTGTTGTATCCAAACTGAGCATGGAATGGACGTATGAGAGGTCTGTTGTTGATGTATCTCATAACGTCTTCAGACCTGAGAAGAATGTTACCCGCAGTTCCAAGAATTACATTGTCACCCCAGCCCATCCCAGTACGATGGCAAAAAATGTCCGTTATGGTAGTTTTGATATGAAGCATAGGATTCACGGAGCAGAAATCCGGCAGGATGCCCTTGATGAGGCTATCCCATGATACTCGATCCTCCTCAACAAAGAGACCAAGTCCTGCGGCGGTGATGGCTTTGGTCAAAGAACAAATCGGGAAGATTGTATCTTCAGTGACAGCGAGTTTCTTTTCGACGTCACGAAAGCCATAATCATCAGAATATCGGATTGTCCCTGGCCATTACACCGATAGCCACACCTGGAGTGCCTGCGATGGCCATCAAGCGTTCAATGGAACGCCGCAGGTGACGGAGCCTGACTGTAATGTCAGCCATTTTGGGTTGATGTTTCCTGCGCAATAAAAAGGTCAGCAACAGAATGATATAAGCGTCGTTGGAGTTGATAAAGTTTATGCATGATAAAGTGTAAAATCGTTGTAGTCAATCCTATTGGCCACTGGGTGCTAAAATGTCACGAACCCTATCTTACAGTTTGAGTTAGCCTATTATAGACACCAATAATCTTCTCCCAGTGAAGCACCTGTTTTCGAAACAAGATATCCTTCTCCGTTTCGTCCTGAATAGGCGGATCCTTGCAAGCCAGTACTCGGCACGGCTTGCGCTGCCTGTGCACCATCCGCTGTTTCCCTAATCTATCAACTACCTGGTAACCGCGTATACTCGGATTATGACTGTTTCCTTCAGTGTCACTGTCGATTGTAGTTACCACAGGTCGTAGATCAAGGCAAACAAGCGCCGAGCCACTCTCCACCAGAACCTCCAAAACAATTAAACCGCTGGCGAAGAGCGTGCCGACGGTCGGCTTAACATCCACAGAGAATCCTTCAGCTCCGGTATTGGAAAATACGTTGTTATAAGGCCCTCTAAAAACCAATGGAGTTTCCCTCTCGGATGATAGGAGATGCATTATGATGTTTTGCTCGGGCAAGTTTGTGACATTTGCCAGCTCGCTTACAGTTCGACAAGTGACGCGACTCTTCAAAAAGTCTCTCCAAGTCCATTCGCCAACACGAATGCTCTTTGAAACCAGGATGATAAACGCTGCCACGATCCAAGCAAACATGGTGATATTAAAAGGATCCACGCCGTCGATACGCGAACCGACGAAAAAGCCAGCCATAAGTCCACCAAGAACAAGTATGGCACATCCCACCAGTATCGAAAGGGTATACGGTAGACAGCTTACGCTAACAGCGTGCTCTTCGATTGCCCATTTACTGGCCGAGTCCGAGACCCTTTTACGTTTTGATGCTGGGATCTGTTCTTCAACTGCTCTAATGGCTTCCAAGTCATGTTGTCGAGGATTTCTCTCAACCTGCCTCAGTTGAGAAGGAAGTCGGTAGTTCCCGGTTGAGTCGAAGTAATCAGACAGTGGAAGGCTCCTTCGCAGTGACGTAAGATCTTTCCGTGAAAGAGTGTTGTACAGACTTACAAAGCCCTTAAAACCTTGGACTGAATCGTAAATCCTGGTAAGAATGTGTGAAACCCGTAACGAAGCACAAAGCCGCACCATGTCATCCATCGCAGACGGATCCATACACGATGAAATGACCATAACACTCATTACTTCAGCCATGGTTTTCAGTTCGACGGAGAAAGAAGCCCCTCTTTGGATAGACAACTGTGATAGGACTCTCCTTGATGCAATTGCCTGGCTCGAGCTGTTCTGGATATCGAAAGCAGTGTTTCGTAGGAGACCAAAAGCACGGCGAAACATCCCAACTGCTACACCAGATGAGGAACCTGAGATGTGTCCCAGCCGATTCTGAAAGGTAATGGTGGGAATGCCTCGCGATCCTGCTGAAAAAACAACAGCAGAGACTTCGAACTCATCTGTCTGTCTACTTCGAGTGTTTCGAATATTCAAGTCGCTGAAAATATGCCACAGAAGGCGGAATATCCAGTTCGATATCGCACTCATATCTGAACTATAAGTTGCAATGTAGCGGTCCCCAGGACCTCGCGTCGGATTTGAATTGTTGTCTCGATCTAGAAACCCTGCTGTCACATCAAGACTAATTTCAGACGGGTTCTCAGCTGCGGTGACCGGATAGTACCCCAAGTCCTGTCGAATGTGGGAGTGTCTATCTAGAGCCTCAACGCCATATTTTGGCAGTTCACTGGAAAGAACCTTCAGCTTTGTTGAATATTTGGCAAGTACTGTGACGACTATGCTGACCCAATCAACCTCATCTGAGGTAAAGTCGTCGCACAGTAGCCGCGCCAGAGTTTCGGTAACATAGTCAACAAGGTGGTAGTAGATCGGCGCCTCACTATCTGTCACACCGACAACCCCATCGCGAAGCATGTACTGCTCATTCACTTCGATATCTCGTCGAACTGCGTGGCGCTCTCGTATACCACCTTTGCGTATGATCTCTGGCACTGAACCGAGCCTTCTCTCAAGCCTTTCAAAGCTTCGCCCAATGATGAACCCTCTATCTGATATCCGCCTCTGTGATTCGGAGGCGACCATCAGATTATCGTCCAGCCCGTATATAGACAGTGCACAGAGTAACTGGTCGGAAAGCCTTTCTAGCCAAGTGAATCCTGTACTGTTGATACTTGAGGCGAGTTCGCGACTGAGAGCCGATTCTAGGGGCTGTTGAGGATTGTTTAAGCGGGAAAGAATCCGATTCACCTCGGTTTCCCATAGATATTTTTCATATATGTCAACGACGTTGTATTGCGATAGGTCGCCAAACCTCGGTGTTGTGGTCGAATTCTCGTTGTCGAAGCTAAAAGTTTCGTCGCCAGCAGGAAGAGCAGTCCTTAGAGACTTTACAATTTGTAAAACCTTTTCTCTAAGTTTGTCTTGTGATTTTGAGGGGTATTTCCCTGGTAGGCTCGTGTTGGGAACGGCTTGTGAAGGCCCGGGTCCATAGGGATTAGTTGAGGCTAAGGAAGTCATATTGTGCGCAGCGAATACTCTAGATTAAGCGTAGGTATCTAATAAGCCTTCATTCACACACAATAATACTGACAAGAAATTTTCAGTTCAGTCATGAGACTTCGCAAGACTGTATTATCAAGGAGCAGCCGCTTGACACAGGTGCGGGGTCCAAGATTCGGTTTATTGCGGTATTATGCAGTCAGCAACAAATTTGTCACACCAGCTGCAAAGGATAACGTGGAAAGCCAATCAAATTAAAACACGTCGATTGGTGATAGTACATAATAAGTATTTGAAGCCCGAACTCTCCCTGTCGATAGAATAAAACCGCTTTCTGGTCTTCGAAAACCGTCGCTATCAGGATCATCACTTGAGCTTCGACCAAAATACGGCTGATGTGACGCCCAACATGGCAAACATAAGCGGCCAGTCAAACTTTGACATATTCCAGCAAGTTCTTCGTAAAATTGACAAGGGACAATCATCTGGCAAGAAAGTAACGCCAAGACTTGAATCAGTAGGTAGGTCACTCGGCTTTAACTAAAGATATGCCTTTAGCTGACGCAAGTTTTGTCAGCAGAGCTGTCGGAAATTGTACAGGATGACATACCATCTAGCATAAGGTCGTTTAATTCTCCGAGGGAGAGAGATATTTTGCCTTTTATTCGGCAGACAACCCGATGGGACCACGAATTGCGTCACAAAATTGAGCTATTAGAGGTGCCAGACAAAGATTGGACGACATGGACAAATGTAGACACGGAGAAAATGCTAAGATCTTATATTCGGCATCAAAGGGTGTTTTCTAGGTCGGGAACGAAAGTCACCGATCATCTAGTGTTCTTTAATGCTTCAGAAATCATACCAAGAGAACTTTGGGACTTGGGCAAAACAAAGGGTCTACGGAACTCAAGATTTACTCATCGGGATAAGTCTGATTCATCTTCGGAAGATGATTTCTACGGGTACCAAATTCAAACTCGAAAGATTGTGATTAACCACGAACGCTACCGAGACTTGTTCTTCGAAATCGTGGATATCAAGAAGAATACTCCATCAACGCTATCGATATCTGCCATCAAGACTTTGGAGGCACTCGACAAATTTATCGACCATGTTTTCCCCGGTGCCAGAAAGCTTTTTGGAAAAGAATATCAGGGCATACAAATACCGTATTCTCATATATGGGTATTCTTTAAGCCCGGAAGAATCATTTACGAGAAGCGCCTAATCCCCCCCCTCAACGAACCGTACGAGCAATGTTTCCGGGTGAAAAGGGCTGGTGAATATGCTAGTCGTTGCGACGGAAGCAGCGTCTTTCGGCTGCTTGTAGAGGAAATCATTTCTGTGCTGGGAAGTGGAGAGAGCCCAGGCAATCGACTCGTTTTAACGAGTCGACACATACGGGAATATAATGGCTTGCGAGATATTACGACCGAGGACATAGGCATTGTCCCTTTGAGCATTATTCCCAAGGAAAAGCAAAGGGAGATTTGTACTGCCATTTCACAAAGAAGCCGTCAATTCCTCCACCTCTCAGCTATGCCTTTCAGCGTTTGGAACTACAAAGGACCGGTAGAGCTTCTTACCCAGATCACAGGACAGGTCACAATGGAAGACACGAATCTGTCAATGGCGGGGAGGGCGTGGCAAGCATGTTGTGTTCCCATTGCTCATATCCAAGACTAACAATGTCGACAGAGGCACACCCACGAGAATGTGGTCATAGACCTAAAATCTTCGACCAATTACCTTAATCATCGCTTTCCGGGATGGCTCCATAGCTTTCACAATTCAGATAATGACACAGAAAAGAAGATTTGGCCCCAGATATCGGGCATGGAACCCGGCGGGGAGCCTGATTCAGAAGCTGGAGGCTACATGGAGCATTTTCTTTTAATATGTCGAGGTTATCTACCAGGATACCTAATATCCTCGATGATCTATGCAGTCAATATTCTGGTTAGCGAGCTGCGCCAGCCTGTCTGGGATCACCAGCATCGGTGGGGGCCAGTGGCCATGTCGTGCCCCGATGAATCTCGTTGGTATACACTCTTACAAGGGTATTTCGAAGAAGAAGAAGAAGAAATGCAGACGAAACTCGCCCGGCGTCAAACGAGAGGTTCTGGTCTGGTACTTGTATTGCAAGGGTCGAAAATCTTGACAAGAATAGTGGCGAACAGTAAGTTGGGGCCTCTCAGTAACAGCAGTCACAGAGCGGACCAGATCCTTAACACAAACATACAGATATCTCTACCAAATTGAAAAGACCACTAGTTTCCCTGAGCCTTACAGAGGATGGCCAACGACTTTTAGAGGCTTCGAACGAATCGCTCAGATGGGGTGGACTTCTACATATAGACCAGCACGAAATTCACAATAGCCAACAACAGGCTAGAGGTAAGTACCCTAATACTATAATTAATCAATAACACAAGTTGCTAAATAACATGGCTTAGAACTGGCCAGACACTTTTCGCTTTATCCTAGCGTTGTGTTGGTGACATGCAACGATGCAATTGAGCTAGGAACAGCTTGTGAAGGCGAGATCGATGGTGTTATCGCGTGTAACACATCTTCGGGTAACCCAATACTAGAAGTGTGGAAGACATATCTCGTTACAGAACTACCAGAACTCACTGTGCCGATCTCGGAACAGCGTCTCAATGATGCTTGTCGAATCTTGGCGCAGCTTGAGCCTAAGGAGAGCCGTATGGGAAAAGTTTTGAAGACGGCTAAAAGAATAGCCATAGCCGAGAGGAGCGTGGTCAGCTTTGGTCATATTTTTGCTGTGATTCGGTCGTCCCTATCTCTAGCCAAACTTGAGGAGGTCAAGGATATCCTGGCGGCTGGTGATGGACTTGGATGATTACATTATGTTGCGACTGAGTAACACACATTTTTGTCTGTCCTCTTCTATCAAATACTAATGCTCAGCCCTTTTTTGGGCCACATAACTCATATTAAGATGTTCTACAAGTAACACCCAACTGATGTCTACTCCTTATCTTCCGGAACAAAATTGGCTTCGAGTTGGCGATGGATACTATCAACGTCGAAACCCTCAAGCTCATCACCTCTGATATTCCACCCTTGTCCTTCAACAAACGCATGTACATCACTTTGAAGCTCTTCAATATCCTCACAGTCAAACTTCCAGCATTTATGAAGAATCCTTCGCATGAATACATCTTCAAGATCAGGCATCCAGTCCTCCTCGGTCATCAAGCGTTCAGTTTCGCCCCAATCTCTCCCCATTCCATCACCTGGTAGTTCAGAGGTCATGATCTGATCAACTAATCTACCAAACATGAACATATCGGTTTTGAGCGTTGGTACTCGCACTGAGCGCGAAAGAGGGAGGTATTCTGGCGAAAACTCGATGCCGCTGAAGAAAGAGCCGGGGAAATTCTAACCATTGCCTGGGTCGGTAAAGTCAGAACCGAGGAACCTTGCTAGCCCCATCGATAGAGAGCCTGCAATCACTCAGCAGTTTGTCTCGATGAGCTCTCCGTCAGCGATACCGCGAGAGTGGATTAATGAGAGGCCTGATAATAGTTGCAAGCTCCACTGGTAGGCCAGAGGTCCGAACTCGGGCTTGATTCAGGACGTGGGAGATGCAGTGTCTGCTTGAGCCGTGTACACCTGAGAGCCATAGTTCTGGATAAACGTCCAAAGTGAGCTATACGACGGCTTCTTGAGGATAGGAAGGCCCGTCCATGCATCTTGACCGATAACACTGGTACATACAGTAAGCAGAGGCCATGGGGATGATAAATCTTGATGACCACGGTACAATTCTTGGATGATCCTGGTCAATCATGTTATAAGCGTATGAAGTTTTGAAGCAGTCGAGAGCCTCTGTATCCTCTCGCCACAAAGCATCCAGGTCGTCGGCCTGATTTTCGACCCAGAATCGGGAACTAGGCACAAAGATGACCGATTCAGCATCCCTTGAGTAAACATGAATGTCCCAAATATCTATCGGCCATCGAAGTCGACGACCTTGAGGGTCGGTTAATGGGACAGTCCGAGGACCTGTTGCAGTTCGATAGTAGTCCCCAGCTGGGCCTTATTGCGTACACCTCGAGCCATTGTAAAGTGTGATGAGAAGAGATAATGGATATCGCTAGCGAGTGGGGGGTGATGAAGTCGTTGAGTTATGGTTGGTTACGTTTCCACTTTCAATTGTTTTGCTCACAAGAGCGACTGGAATGTTTATCCGGGCCGGCCAAGTTTTTCCACGTGCCCCGCAGATACAATAGCCTATCAGCCCACTCCTATCATATCCCACGGCCATTGACACTGTTGATTGACAAAGGTGAGCTTTCTTGCTCGTCTACAACGGGCACGGAGCAACACAAAGCACTCGATGGTTTAATTGACCATGTAATCATGAGTGGGTAAGCATCGGGATCTGCAAGCTGCATCATGGCTGAGTCTCAAGGTTCACTAGTCTAAAGACATGCTTCTGGAGGGGCAGTTCGGAAGTCCTGCTATTAGCGCACGGTTGCCCTCATTGAAATCATGGAGATAGGTGTGTAGGCAACAAGGCATGGAGTGGTTCGTAGCAGCGGGGCGGAAACGAAATGAATGAGTGATATGTGATCTGCGAGCCTGACATCACTGTGATAATGTCTTGTTGTCACACTGGAGACAGGCATTTTGCCTTGGCAGGAGCAAGACGTCTATGTAGACTAAGGTAAGCAGTGGAGGCTTTAGGACCCGTAGCCTCTTGGAGCACGGAAGAGTAATCCGAGCCAAAGTTAAACGTCTAAGTACACGTGCCATACTGCTTTCGGCATCCCTTTGCACAATTATCTGTTGCCTTTCCGCAGTAACCGTAATACGAGCAACAATTCCCAAACTGTGACCCTTCACCCGTGTACCCATAGTCTCTGCCGCGGGTCCAATCAGGGCTGATCTTTTCGCTCCCTGCATCACACTTACCAATCTTTGACTGGCATCCACCGCCACAGTAGGACGGTGGATCGCCGCAATATCCACTGGAGGGACAGCAGTTCCCGAACGCGGAATTCAAGCATGTTTAATCTTTTGTCACTCCACGTGTTCCATCTGTACTGACGTCGGTTGGCTGGGCTGCACGGCTACTTGTTTTAGACAATGTTGTTGCATCATAACCATACAAGTTGTTGATGGTCTCGTGGCATTAGAACGTCCCCGGAGTGTAACCGCTGCAATCCTCTTTGAGAAAATGGTTATAGCGGTACATTTTCTCCATCGTCATCCATCCTGCTTAGGGTCAACTGACGCGCAATCAAATATCCCATGAACCACCGTGTGCAGTTGGCAGTCTCGCGCAACGGAGTGATCTCAGCGTCGTTGCAGTTGATGTAATTTGTGTCTAATAAATTGTAGAATCATCATACTCAGTCCTGGGGACCATTGAAGATTATATGCAAGAGTAAAGTTACAATACAGAGGAGTGGTTAGAAATAAAATGCTCCTTAATATAAGTACTTTAACTCTTAATGGTATACACTCTATTTCTAAACTTAGCATTCTATTATATTTAAAAAATTATTATATATTAATCTTATAATCTTAATTAGCTTATATTCTTTTTACTATTAAAGCTTTTAGTTACTTAAATATAATTTACTTTAATAAAAGTATTAATACTTTAACTTTTCTAGCTAGCCTAAATAACTTAAATAATAAAACCTTTAATATTTTAACCTTTTTACTATAATATAATGTAGTTAATAAGTAAGCGTTATAGATAAGTAAGTATTATACTTTCTTTAGCCTTTTTAACCTATAGCTTAAAAGCTTAAGCTATAGTTTAAAAAGGCTTACTTTTACTTACTAAATTCTTCCCTAAATAACTTAAAAACTATTTAATAAGTCTTTATATTATACCTACTTTTACTATATATACTATAATATTAACTACTTAATTACTTTAACCTTTCTTAACTATTACTTCTTAATAATTTAGCTACTATTTATATATTAATATCTATCTAATTAATTACTTATAATACTTTCTATATAATTATAGTTCCCCCTTTTTATAATTTAGTCCTTTTTATTTTATAGTACTGGCTTAATATCTTATTTATATCTTAAAGATTATAAAGTTTAGCCCTTAATAAGATAACCTTATATATAATTACCTTTATTACTTTAATAGTTAACTTTAAAGCTTTAATAATAGACTTTAGGGAGCTACTATAATACCTTTTAATTTACCTTTTAAGGTATTTAGACTAAAATTAGGCCTTTATTACTATCTTTAGGGTCTTTAAAGCCTATAGTATTAATAATTAAAGAGCCCTTTTAAGAGGTATTAGGGTCTATAACTATATATTAAGCTTTAAGATTATAGTTTTTAAATTAAGAAAAATAAGTCTAGCTTCTTTAAAACCCCTTTAGATATTACTTTCTATAAAGGTAGCTTTAAATACAGTATAAAAGGCAGAAAAGAACTTAATCTTAAAAATATAAGTTATAAAGTATTTAATTAAATACTTTATTTTTTAGCTATAAGCCTTTTTTAATAGCCTAAAGTACTTAATATTAAGAGGCTAGAATAAATAAAATATATAAGTTAGTATATAAAGTATAATAATCTTATTTATTTTATAATATCTCTTAAAATTAGTTAAATAATAGCTTTTATAACTATTAAGAATTAAAAGATAATAAAGATTAATTAATTAATTAATTATAAATTAATTAAAGTACTTTAGCTATTTAAGACCTAACTTATTATTTATTTATCTATTTTAGCTTATTATAATAACCTAATTTAGTAAAAGGTTATATTTTTAGTATTAATTAATAAAGTAATATTAGCCTATATTAATAATAAATAGTATAATTACTTAACCTTTTATATTAATTACTTAAATTATAGTAATCTATTTCTGGTTTTTAGGCTATATTAATTTTAGCCTTTTTTATATTTTTAAACCTATAATAGCTATTCTGGCTATAATAAGGCCTATTATAAAGCCAATTTTATTAAAGTTTTAGATATTATTTAATTAAATATTATATTTTATAATTATATTTTAAATAAGCCTAAATTAGTTATAAATAATAGTTAGATTTTTATATTTAGCTCTTTAATAGTTATATTTTTAAAATAAATATATTTTTAGCTTTAATTATTACTTTATAAAGTTATAAGCCTAGCGCTTACTAATAGGTAATATATTATAGTTAGCTAATAGGGAATTAGCTTTTTTTTCTATAAAATATAGTTATAAGGGAAATCCTTATAAATCTAAATTAAGAATAAATTAAACTATTATCTACTCTTTTAAGTTAAATAGTCTTTATAAATTTAAGATAGAATTATATTATAATTAAATGCTATACTGGCAGTAATATAAATAGTATTTATTAATCTTATATATCTTAATAGTATATTAGGTACTTAATTTTAGGTTATTTTAAAGGGCCTAAAGGGTAAAGAGGGTTTTAGCTTTATTTAAATATTAAGATATCTTTAGTGGTTAAGAATTAATTAATTAAATAAAAAGTAAAATATAAAAGGGAAAAGTGTAATGCTTACTTATTTGCAACACTTACTTATTAACTATATTATATATAATACTTATTAAAGTTATTTTAAATATATTATAAGTAAAAAGGGTAGTTTTAATATAATAAATAATATTAATATTTTAATTAAAATACTTTTTATTTAAGGATTAAATAATATCTATAAGCTATTTCTTTGTATATTTATTATCTAATTAATAAAAGTATTATAAGTAATAAAAAATTAATATATATAGTTTTAAGCCTTCTGGCTTCTAAAGTTATTATAAATAGTAATTTAGCTTCCTATTAATATATTAATAAAGTTATATTATAATATATATATATAAATATATAAACCTAAAGTTATATCTCTTTATATACCTTTTAATCTCTTTACTTTATAATACCTTAAGGCTTACAGTAAGATATGATAGTTATTATAAAAGATTTTAGGTAAAAGCTTATATTAAAGTAAAAAAAAAAATACTATATTCTTATTTATTACCTATATTTACAGCTTAAAGGTTAACTTTATAGGTCGCATTCATCCCTATGGCTAAACTCGGCATCCCACACCGCAGGACGTAGGACTGAGCTTTGTGGGCTAAGCGGATTGGTCACTGGGAGCAGAAGTCTCACGATCCTTAAGCATTCCATAAACCAGGACTGACGACATCTGACTGTTATTCAATTGTGAAAGAGATAATATTCCAAATAATGCTAAAGAAGCCAAGAACAGAGAAGAGAAATAAAGTTTACCTTAGCTTGACGTATCGTGATTGACCGCCAGGGATCCCGTTATAACTTAACAAGTTTTCGGTCTGGTTTCCAGTAATGATTATAAGAGAGAGTAAGCAGACATCTTTATGTACAAGGGTAAATAGGTTCTATATATATTACCGTATTAAACATCACAGTCAGGGCGAGCCTAGAGAGTATAGCGTCACATCAAAGCCAATGGATAGGGCATTATCTATTATCATGAGTTAACAGACTTACTTGCATAAGGCAGCTTAAATCTAGGTATTTTATATACTTTAAGCTTAATTATCTATATAGATAAACAGCAGGCAGCTACTTATTTATATACCTATTAAGTTAATTATTAAAATATATAGCTTTTTAGCTAAAAATAAGATCTTAGGTAATAATAAAGGCAATAAATATTTTACCTATATATAATTTTTTTTGGTATTCTTTACCTTTATGGCCTTAAGGCTAAAGCCTCTTTTTAACCCCTTAACCCTATTGCAGTAGGGCATCATCGCTCCAGCAAGTTAAACGCAATTGAGAGACAAAGTAGACTTAAGAGCATCCAATGTATATCTGGATTAGGTGGGCAGTAATATAGTGACTGATCTGGCTAAATACTTAGTGCAACTATGATACAAAGTCTTCTTGGGTAAGGGATAAGGCTTGACCTCTGAATCAACAAGGGCAAGCTGTGAATTTGCATTTTGCCAGGCGCATTATGTGCTTCTCCAGCAAATCGTATTTTATGCCATAGCAAATCACATCCTGCTGTCTCCAAGATGAGAACTGCTGTACGCTTTAAGAACAACAGCCACGAGGCCGAC